TGTGTTCCGTGCTTCAAACTTGTTGGTTTGGATTTTCTTGCATGAAAGCAAATTCACGATAAGATGTGTGTTTGTCATATTTTATGTTCCGAACCTCAATTTTACAGAGTCTTAGCAAAGAGAAAATGTGAAATAAATTGTACAGGAAGTTTTTTGTTTTTGAAACAAAGTGTGCGGTAGAGATTGAATCTTGGTCTAATTTTGATTCCGCTGTAACCACTACCTCAGGGAAGAAAATGAAAAAAAAAAAAAAAGGAATCTAACCATAACCCAATGAAAAAAAAGGGATGAAGCAAGGATGAAAAATGTGCAGAAGTACATATGCACATAGCTTTGTCAGTTGCAATTTAGCAGCAGCATTGGCTCCTGTGGCTGTAGCAGAGAATGAGATAGCCGCAACCTTCAAGATAACTGCTGCTATGGCTGCAGTTTCTGCCATCCCATTATATAAAATTTGCTGAATCAACCGGACCATGTTGCCACCACTATCAGAACAGCTGGTGATGTCCGGGAGCCAGTGATTTAGTTAGTCTACCTGCTGTAGCTGCATTCGATTATTTATTTATACTGCAATTTGACATTCAAACTTTTTTTCTCTTGTTCGAAATTGATTTTTGTGTTTCTCTTGTTTAAAAGCTCTAGATAGAGAAGCAGCTCTGAAGCATAATCACCAAAAGACATGAAGAACAACGCTTCTATTACTCCATGTGACAAAAGTTTAGCAGAAACTTACTATTATTCCACCTGTGATAATGAAATTGTCAAAGTTCCTTGTGTTGCAGATTGCTGCACCACACAAGAAAAAGTAATTTGCGTGTGCAACAGGGATTGAATTTTGACCTAATTTTGATTCCCCTGTGAGGTGATTTCAACACAAGGAATCTTATCATAACACAGTGAAAAAAAAGAGGATAAAGCCAGGATGAAAAATGCGCATATGCACGTAACAGAGAATAAGAGAGCTAGAGGCTCCAAAATGAGTGCTAAAATTGACCGAATCAGCTGGACCGTGTTGCCAATCAAGCAGTCTAATCAGAAGTTCTTTGTGTATTGCATTTTAGAAATTCTTCCCAAATGTTCTTGCTTAGAGACGCTTAAAAAATGAAGTCTGCAACAATCCATTGCATTGATTGCATTGATTTCATTCATTTTGCAGTTTTTCCATTCTTGTTTTACCTGTCCGATTACATATCCATTCCTTTCTTACTATCCATAATTGCATTGATTAAACAATTCATTTACAAAATCAGATGAATGACTGATTTGCACAGGGAATTTTCTTCCTTTTTTTTAAGGTGAACCAGGACGGAATTGTTTACAAAATCAGATGAATGACTGATTTGCACAGGGAATTTTCTTCCTTTTTTTTAAGGTGAACCAGGACGGTACCTAGCGGGCATCCCCGATTTTATTAATCAAAAAGAAAAAATTACACAGGACAGTGCTTAAGACTTACCCAAACAGAAAGAGACCGTCTTACAAAGTTTTACTAAAAACTCATGACGGTTCTTGATCCTTTTACCATTATGAACTGTCTTACAAAGATATGCTAATATCCCATAACAATTCAGTTATCTAAACTCTATAGCCTAGGAATATATCTTACAAAGATTAAACATTAATCCCCTGAAAACTCCATTTTGATTCCCTTTGATATAACTAAGTAAACTCCATCTAGATTTACACAGGGAATTAAATGAATACATCCATCCTCGAATTATTGGGCTTCTTTTTACCTTACGCTGCAGAACGTGCAGCCCACCTACCTAGTATTATATAAGTCGTCATCGCCGCTATTGGTTTCTTCCAAGAGGATTCACTGCTCTTCTTATTCTTCTATTTGATTTTCACCGCCTAGGTCCGTGGCCTTCGGAGGAGCAGGAGCCTCTTTATATTATTTATCTTATGCCACTTGCAGGTTGAGGATTATCACAACTTTCACAAAAAATCTTTTTGACATCACTGTCACTGCTACAAGAATCATAAAATTTCCCGTAATTAACCTCAACAGACAGGCTTTCAACAATCAGAGATTCATAATGTAGACTAAACTGATTGACATCCTCATGCTGTTCAGAAACAACAGTTCCAACAATCGGCACTAATTCACTCACCGAATTGGTATTAATTGTTGCGTTAGATTTTGCTTTGCAATGACAAACACTTGTTGAGGGCACTTAGATCCTTTCTGCAGGTCTTCCTTAAAAAACTTGGCACATTCAGCATCAAAATTAGGAGGCAAAGCAACCAGATGTGTACCAGAAACAAGCTGCACCTGATTACTAACTAGCCCCTGGATGTCGACGATAAGTCTGTCACAACACTTTCTTGTAGCTAATCTGCTGTGCCAATTGAGCTTTCGATTGCTTCCTGTGCCTACTAAGTTTGTTGTACCACCTGCAGATTATGTATCTGCGATACTACTTACTGTAATTGTAACAGTTGCAACGCCCTCAAATTTAGCTTTTGTTCTAATGCCTCAATACGTGTCAGCGTTTGCATACGTTGTTGTTGTGCCAACGCCTGCATATACTAACGTCGCGGTGATGCTTGCTGATACAGTACTGACAACACGTACTTTTGTTGTGTCGGCAATTGAATCTCCTGATATTGCATCGACGACTCCTGATATTGCTGTGTCGGCCATAGAACTTTCTATATTGTGGCGACAGAACCTGTTGTTGCTACACTTGCGTATGAACTTGCTGATGTTGCGGCGATAGAACCTGCTATTATTGTGCCGCCGTCTGAACTTTTTGATATTGTGGCGATAGAACTTCCTGTTGCTACGCCGGTATCTGTTGCTCTAGATTTTCACCAACTGGCGTGCGATAAAAATCATGTGTAGCCATTGAAGTACCAACAGGGACTAGCCCCCCAAATCTTGAGAGATCTTGCGCCACAGACATATTATGCCATACGTCGATGCTACCGAACTGATGATTTGCGTCATATTGATCATAAGATTGAGAAAAACTGCCATATGAAATAGCCTGCCACCCAATATTATTTTCAATCATAAAAGAAATATGCCTTACCTGTAAAACTACGGGCTGTTGAGAGATATGCTCACCAAATGGTAATGGACTATAAGAATATGAAGATTGGAGATTATCTGGCGACCTATTATATGGAGAGAAGTATAGATCGGATCCCTAGGCCTACTAAGACCATAAATATGACTATTGGAGTCCATAATAAGATAGGAAAATAGAGATTTTTAAAAAAAATTTAAAAGAAGAAAGAATACCACGATCTAAGAATCAAACCAAAACTTGTCCCACCAGGCGGGCCAAATTTTATGTTCGAGCAAGAATTGTCACTTGGATTGTGGAAAGGAGAAAAAAAATTATCCAAATACAAAATCAAATCAGACGACTATGGATGTGTTCAAAAATCGGCTTTGGACCTAGAATCGAGGGCTTAAAATTAACTTTGGTTTAATAATAATAAGAGAAAATATAGAGAAAAAGCGTGACAAGTCAAAGTGATGGTCTTGAATCATTGAAGGTGGGAGAAAAAGAGATATATAGCGACGACTGACTATAGAGGATGTCGATAACATGCTATTACAAGGAGAACTGGATTCATTGAAGTAGAAAACGATGAATGACTACCTATTTTTGTGAAGAAAACTATATCAAAACTATTTAATCAAGGCTAAACACTTAAAAGCGTGAGAATGGCTTAAAAATAAAGAACTGAAATGAAAGAAAATGATAAAAGATTTGGTTGATATGATGATTGATTGTGTAGGTCTCTTTGTTGATGTTCTTGGCTTCTCTTTATATAGGCAAGATGGAGCCAATTCCAGTTTGGTGCAGAACATAAAGGAGGTAGAGTCCATATGTATGATTTGATAAAAGTAGTAGTAATCCCTTCACACGCATTCATATGCCAAATGATCATATGTAATTGAATTTAGACTCTTTCTTCAATAACCTAACCAATTAAGCAGCTTCCTAAATTATAGGAATATAATTTAATCACCAAAAAGACTCTATTTTACATGCAAACCCGTAGTGATTCCTTAAAGCTATTTTAATCAAATTAGTCTCTCTCACAGCTTCCTTTCAATATTAATTTGGATTATAATTACTTCTCCTTTTCTGAGTCGAACGTCGATACTAGGGAAACTCCGCCTCTTCGGTTGACGGCCAAATCGGCCTGCCGAAAAGTTGGAAGAAAAACTTCCCACCATGACTGCTTAATATAGCTTGTACAGATGTAGGAATTAGGATCATTTGATCCTGGTATGGTTCCAAATTAATGTGAAGTATCTATTGATTTCTTAAAAAAAGAAAAAACAAAACTAACCTTATAGTATGCCGAGCAAGTTTTCTTTCATATTTTTCATTTTAATTTTGAAGAAGGGTTAAACAAATATTTTCGATGAGTTTAAAATAGTGTATGGATAAGTAGAAATAAGCCGTTTCCAGATTTGTCATTATTAAACAGACCCTAACCTAATAATTAATTAAGATGATTAAACCTCACCAAAACTTAAAAAAATTTTTAAAAAAATTAGAAAAATACAACCCATTATCCCCCAAGCAAACATCAATTGGGTCTTCTGTCGTCCCAGTTCTCACCATTGTCTCCCGGAAAAATTGGCATTTATACTCAAACTTTGGCCTCAACGTTAATTCTACTCCATGAATTTTCGGTTAGTCAGTTTTGTCCTCACTGTTTAACGGAAATTGTGCCAATTGGACGGAATTGGCCCAATTTTCGTTAAACAGTAAGGACAAAATTGACTAACTGAAAATTGATGAGATAAAATTGACATTGAGGTCAAAGTTTTGGGTATAAATGCAATTTTTTCCATTTTCTCCCTCCATCTGAAACTTTCTGCGGCGGTCTTCGTCGTCCACTGCTTGGAATCTCCAAATAAGATGACAAGAATCCAATTTCCCACGAACTACTGAATTCTTGTGATTGTAAAAAAATGACGATTCAGGTGAAACCACAGTGAAAGCAATCGTGGTCATATCCTCAAAATGAATCCTCCCACTCATCACAGCCACCGGCGTCTGGTTCTCAAGTACGCCATAGCTTCAAGGCTGTTGCTTCTCGGCTTAATCCTGCTCTGGCGTTCCCTTCTCAGCCCCTACGACACCTCCGCTTCCATCAACCCTCCCTGCCTTTCCGTCGGCGATGGCGACGATGTCGTTTCTCCAAACCCTCTCTTCCCAGGTGTCGCGTCCGCATTGGAGGATAGCATAGTGTGGGACAGCGTTTACTTCGTTCGTATTGCGCAGTGCGGTTATGAATATGAACAGTCTTATGCCTTCTTCCCATTGCTCCCCATTTGCATGCCCCTCCTCTCTCGGACCGGTAAGCTGGACAGAATTATCTTTTCTTTCTTTTTTTTTTTCTATGTTTGAATCCGGAGTTGGAATAGCATAAGCTAATGAAATTTTGAATTTTTTACTTCTAAAGTTTTGTCTCTTGATTCTTGGTGCAGTTTTTGCTCCATTGGTACCATTGATTGGACAAAGGGCAGTACTTGGGCTCTCAGGATATGTGCTTAATAACGTTGCATTTGTCTTTGCTGCTTTATTTCTGTACAGGTAATTCCTCCTAACTAATTGTAAATTGTTAAGCTTACTTATGGGCCATTTAATTTCAATGATTAGGCATTTGGGGTAAAAAGACTAAAGATCACTTCTTGATACACTCAGGAAATATGAGGGCTTTTGTAGTATTGCAATGGTGCCTACTTGGCAACTTGGCTGGCAGAAACTCCTCATAGTTGACAACAGCTTTAAAATCTCAGAACACAATTTATCACATTATGTCATTTTTTTTTGAAAGTCAATCACATTATGTCAATCATGGGTTCTGTTAATTGTTAGCAATCCTTTTTTCCCTGTGTTTTTTTTTTTTTTTGTTATCCATTTGCATGTTATTTTAGAACCAGCCTGTTTGATTTCTTATTCTTGCTTTTGCTTTCCTTCAGGCTTTCTGTTCATGTATTGGATGACCCGGAGGTGGCATTGCGAGCATCAATATTATTTTGCTTTAATCCAGCATCAATATTCTACTCGTCAATGTATTTTCACAAACCATTTTTTTTTTATGTAAATAGATTACGAGTGTTTGGCCTGACTATAGTTTCTATTTGATTGTTCAGTTATTCTGAGAGTTTGTATGCTCTCTTAACAGTTAGTGGGGTGTACTACCTGTTGATTGGTGGAGATAATGTTGCAACACTTTGCTTTGCGCTCTCTGGGGCTGCTAGGTCAAATGGAATGCTTAATGCAGGCTACATATGTTTCTTAACAATGCATCAGGCTTATGAAACCATCTTTCTGAAAAAGCATTCTGTGGTATGTTCTTTATTTCTACCTTTAATCGCTTTTGGAGTTTTTAGAGCCCAAACAAGGTGACAAGTTTGGTTAAAGGCTTAAAGTGCTTGTATCCAACATTTGATAAGACTTTCCAGTGCTCATTTTGGTTTGTAGATGCAATTTACCTATTGATGGTATTAGAAGGTATTGATGACATCAAAGAGAAGCTATATGTGGTTGGGTAACTAAAATTTAAACCTTTTGACGACTGAGGCTGAGAAAATGTTAGGTTTTTGTATCGCCTCAGATACATTTTGGTTGATGACTAACAATGGTGACTTAAATAAATACTAACATCAGAAAAGTTTCTTCCTTTAGATGAAATGACCTACATATAGATTTCACGTATCCATTTGAAGGATGCTCTTACTGTATAGTCTGCTTCTTATTAATCTTGTTAATGAATGAAGACCAACTTAGAAACAGCAAGCATCATGAAATAATTTTAACATTTTTGCAAGTAGGAAGAGTTATCATCCTGCAAGATCTATGGATAGGTATCCTTATCATTTATCATATTTTTATAAGTTCTTCTATTAGTGAGAAGGACTGGGAATCCGATCATTTCTCTTCTCTTTAATCGTAGCAGTTTCGAAGTTCAGCTCTTAATAGATGGAAATTCAAGTTATGACTTTTAATTTGTATAATAATCTCAGTCTATTCTTTTTGCCGATGCCAGCTAGCGTTGCAGGTGTTTGTTTCTGGGGCTTTTCGTTGCTTGTGTATCTTTATTCCTTTTTTCGCTTTTCAAGCATATGGGTACTTGAACATCTGCAGGGGACATGCAGAGGATGATTTAAGGCCATGGTGCAAGGGAAAAATTCCGTTGCTTTACGATTATATTCAAAGTCATTACTGGTATGTTGTAGTTTTCCTTCTTTCTCGAATTATAATGTACTTATGCCGGCAGACTTCATGATTATGCGAAGCAGATATAGCATGCTATTAATGTCATCTCTGTGTATAGTTCTTCAGAATTCGCTCTTATTTAGATCACTATTTGATGTGTTGTCATAAATTTAATGTATTCATGAGTGCATGAGGGCTTTCTACTAAAATTAAAATCCTTGAACTCAATTTTGATTGCACAAATATGCTAGCTCTCTCTGGTCTTGTCTCTGTAGTCAGTAAGAAGCGTGATGCTTGATTCTGTTTATATTGTGGAAAATGAAGATTCCAGTGTTCTATTTATTGATCTCTTTATCCATTTTATTTGATTGTGGCAATACTTGCTGTTTACATTATTCTCAGGGTTTTGGAATTGTTGTTTCCTGTGGTATGTTCATAACTAAACCTAATTGTATTTATCCTTTTTCTTTATTTGACAGGGGAGTTGGGCTTTTGAGATATTTCCAAGTAAAACAGTTACCCAACTTTTTACTTGCATCCCCTATATTGTCTCTCGCAGTCTGTTCAATAGTACATTATGCGAAGATGTGGCCTACAGTCTTCCTCTCACTTGGTTTTAAAAGTAATCCAGCTAGAGAAGACATGTCTCTGTCCTTTTCGCAAGGAGCAAATGCAGAACTTAAAACCATGAGCTCTCTGGGAAGTGAAAGTTCAAGTGCCCTGCAAGGTGTATTTCAATTTTTGTTGCCTGTTTCAGAGAATAAGAAAATATTGTCTTTATTGTTGTTGTTGTTGTTGTTGTTGTTGTTGCTGTTATTATTTTGTTGAGGTTGCTGACAAGAATCAAGAAATATAATTTATGGTGCTGCATTTCTCCTCAGTTTTCCTATCACTTGTTTGTTGCCAGTTATATATCTATGAAGCATTGTTCTTGCGTTAACTGTTTTAATGATTCTGAAGGAATGACTGAATGGATCTTAAAAGGTATGGATGTAGCAACTTTGTTGTGTACTCAAATGGTAATCTTGATTCTTGACCAACTAGAAAGTATTTCACAATTTTCCTCTTGAATGTATCGATTGGCTAAAGTTCGATTACAGACTGATTTTAGGATATTTTGCCAATGGTTGTATTTGGCACCTTCAAACCGAGGAAATTTTTTAAGCTGTTGAGTAATGATTGCGTTTATATCTTATCATAAAAAGATATTCGAACTGGTTTTAATGTCACCAGGGGAGCACCATTTTCTGGGATGTCTGAGGATCTGAGGAGGAATTGAGGCTTAACGAGTGTTGAGGAAGGAGGGGGAGAGATGTGCAAGAATTTCAAGCTTTTTGTAATACGGGGTAGAGTATTAAAGCTGAAGGTTCTTCTGTTTGGCACTAGAAAATATAAGAACTTGCTTCCCTCTCCACACTATCAGGCTTTCCAATACCTCCTGATTTGCAATTTCAGAAAACAGGTTTGCAAGGATGACTAGGACTATCAGGCCTCCTCTGGAGGATTTTTCTTGGCACTTGCTGTTAATATTGATAGATTTAGAGATACACAGGTGCAAAAATTTGCATTTTTTGGGAATCCCTATTTTTGTAGAAATGTTAGTGTCATAAACAGTTTGAGTTTAGGGACCACATTCAATGACCAGTACTTACATAGGTCACTGGCTTACTGTTGTTGTGCAGTGTTATATTCGTATTGGTCTCATGTAATGTTGATGTGGTTTATTTCTTTCGCTGAGCATTCTATTATATTTTGCCAATTAATCATACTTTTGCAATTTATTGGCTGCAAAGTTCAGATTCTTATATAGCCGAAAATGTTTGGTTGGTGACAGAAACTCCTACAGTGAGACGAAGGAAATTTTTATCTAAAAGATGGAGCAGCGATAAGAATATTTCTGAAAGATCCCAAAACATGTCATCAGAAGATCATTTCACATTACCAGTTATAATTCTTCCGTTCATTCTACACTTGGGTTTCATGGCTGCCACAGCTTTTCTTGTGATGCATGTGCAGGTAGGCTTCCCTCTCATTTCTTCAGCATTAGTTAGTGTTTTGCTCTCATTGGCCAATCCTGAAATAGACAATATGGAGTTTTGATTCATCTCTTTGTTTGGGTAACTGGATATTGCTATTGATGTAGGGTGTTAACTTGAGATGTTCTCTGATAAGTTCAATTCCACTCATATACAAGTCTAGAATTTTGAGATCTTGAGAATTGGCCTTATTTCAAGGAGAACTGAAGGACGGGAAAACCTTAAGCTAGAATGCTTATTAATGGATGTTTATTTTCTTAACTCATATATCAGCATAAAGTTACATAGATGGTTACTACTTTTTCCAATACCTAATAAAGTTCAAGTAATTTACATGAATAATATCTTTTTGAGTCTTATTCATGAGGGAGCGGAGCTGGATCATTTATAGCCCAAACATGAAATTAGCCGAGAAGATAGCATTAGTCTTTTTAATACAACTGTCAAGTCTCGATATGACTTAAGGAAACAATGCTACCAGATTCTCCTAAAAAGTAATGGGAAAGTAACCAGCTTCACTGCGTTGAATCTTCCACCTTTCGAGTAATCAACATCAATTAGTTAAGTGCACCCATGATAGCTTCCAATTCATTCTCTTGAGATAGAAATAAGTTGATTGCTTTCCCTAGGTCTACTTTTGAACCACATTGCTTTTGTTTGCATAGATGTGCATCTTCATCTGACATTGACAATGTTTCATAGGTTGCAACTCGTTTCTTATCTGCGAGCCCTCCGCTGTACTGGTTTGCCTCTCATATCATGATAACGCCAGCTGTTGGCAAGAGGTGGGGATACCTTATGTGGGGATATTGTGCATCTTACATCCTTCTTGGCAGCTTGCTCTTCTCTAACTTTTACCCCTTCACTTGAGATGCTTCAGCTCCTGAGAAGCTTTAAGATGTGCATTCTTGTAAAATGTGAAGGAGATTCATGATGATTAAATGTGGAAAACCACTATGCTAGTTTTTGTCATACTCACTTGGAGAATCTGTTCGAACCAGTCCCGCTGGCTTGTCATCTCGCCTTTGGTTCCCGTGCTGTACGAGCTAATTTTGAGTCTGCTTTCTGACTCGTAATTCCAAATTTCCCCCTCCCTTTAAAGTCTAATATTCTTTAGTGGTTGACTTTATTCCATAAGAAGGTACAGGGCAAGATCACATACAGTATCTAGGGAAGTTCCACGGATTAGAAAATGAGATTGACTGTTTGTACTTTGTACCTTGATGGAAAGAAATGGAGTATTCTGACTCTTATCGCTTCCTCGGTTTCGAATTCTTGTCTTTTCTTTTCTTTTCCCCCGAAAGCAATGTGGTTAAAAAATGTGCAATGTCAACCAGTTAGAGCATCTGCAGCGTTGTACTTTTTTGTTGCACAACAAATAACCAAATTTGTTGTTTTGCTGTCTGTTATAGTGTTATCTTCTCCAATCCACAACACCAATTTTTACATAAAATGAAATATTCTTTATATATTCTTTTTTTTTTCTATCATTCTTTTCTAATTTACAAAAGACCCAATTAGATTATTTGTATTATACATTAACCAAACTAATTCTTTATATATATATATATATATTGGAATCACATATCTATTTAACATGAAAATAATTATTTTAATATCAATTGAGTAGTAAATTATAATATTTATGTTAATCGATTAATAACTAAAAATAAAATTCATATATTATTGCAAATGAAAAAAAATTCATTATCAAATTAAACGAATGCAAAATAAATACTACATTTAAAATAATAAGCCAACAACATTAATAGGATTCTCCATATAATAATTCACTAATCCTTCTCCAATCCACTAGTTTGTTCCTATAAATGATCTATGAAGGCATTTCTCAATTTAAACTGAGCATCTCGGTCCCTAATTTTTCGGTATCGAGCAATAAATTGTTGGAACGGTTCATGCCCATTTGATACCCTTTCTACTGTCGGTTATGGTGTTTCTCGTTCAACTATTATTGGTCCATTGAGATCATTCTCACCCTCCACAGTCATGTTGTGCATGATAATACAAGCTATGATAATATCATGCAACACTTCCTTGTCCCAGAAACGAGCAGATCCTTTTATAATTTTAAACCTTGATTGCAAAACTCCAAAGGCACGTTCCACATCTTTTCTACAAGTCTCATGGTTGGTTTTAAAATACTTGTGTTTTGGAGTTTAGGATTTTGGATTGACTGCACTATCATGGCCTATTTCGGGCAAATACCATCAGTTAAATAATATTCCATATTATATTCTTCTCCTTTAAGAACATAATTAGCAGGAGGTGCAATACCTTGAGTAAGATTATAAAATAAATGTGATGATTCCAAAACATTAATATCATTATTTGTACCTGGCACACAAAATAAGCGTGCCATATCCACAGGTTATAATCAGCTAATAGCCTCAAGAATGATTGTTGATTTACCAGAACATCCTGCATATTGTAAGGCCCAACCATAGGGGCAATTTTCCCACTCTCAATGCATGCAATCTAGACTTCCCAACATGCCGGGAAAACTACGTTGTTCACCAATATATAGTAATCTAGTAATGTCATCTGCAGTTGGTGATCTAAGCTACCGTTCTGCAAAAATCTCAACAATTTCACGACAAAAATTCTTACAACAAGCAATAGCAGTTGACTCACCCATTTGAAGATACTCGTCTAAACCATTTGCAAAATTGTCATATGCTATCATTCGGATGGCAGCAGTTGCTTTCTGTAGGGGTGAAAACCCCAATCTATCAAAAGCATCCCTTTGTTGCTCGAAAAATTGATCGTGATTTTGAAGAGCATCCACAATACGGAGGGAATAAATTTCCAGACATACAAAAATGTCGTTGAAATTATTGGTCAGTGTATCGTGGATTTTCAGAGAAAAATCACCAACCAATTGCAAATGTGCACCCTCACGGTCGCGGTTGATCACGATTCGTCCCGAAATTGACTCGTCTCGAGCAACCTGGTTCCTCTGTTGATGATTGAACTGCAAATTCATTGCTATTGTATTTCTCTGCATAACATGACGTATCTTGTTGTACTTGTCGTAGTTGAACTAAAACTTCATTATCACTCGATGATGATGATAATGACGATTGATGGTCTTCAATATTTGAAGAATCTTTCTCGTAATAGCTCCTTGTTTTTTCTTACAAAAAGAGAGAAAAAAAATTATCAATGGATTAAGAAAAAGAAACTTTGATGGTTGATACGTTTTATTGGGATGTTATTTATAGAGATTTTTTTTAAGCGATTGGGATAAAGAAAAATCCATTTAACGGTCAAGATAAAATTAAAATCTAATCTAACGGTGTATATAATGATAAAGAAATCATATACTATCTGTGCATTTTTGTTCCCTAGTGAATGCACGTCTAAAACTTAGAGCAAAGGGACAAAGCCATCATCGTCAACGTGAAAACAAAAAAAAAATTCTTAGAAAATCTGCACAAAAAGACAATAGATTTTATATAGGCTACGCATGCAATGTATTGGTAGAAATAATTTTGACAAATATATCTATCTAAATTTGTGTGCCAAAATTGAAAAAACAGCAACTTTTTTTTTTTAAAAAAAGATTTGAAACTGATGGCATTTTTTTTTTTGCTTACATGACAAAGAAAAAAAAAAAGACAAAAGCAACAATTTATGAAATAATACGTTTTTGTACATCTAAATTTGTGTGCCAAGAATTAATAAAATAACATGGCAAAAAAAAAAGAGATACAAAATAAAAGATTAGGTTATCCACTTGTGGATAAAAAAATTCAAATATATGGTTCAGATGGTAAAAAAATCTAATGAAGGGTGGAGATAATGATAATGAATAGTACATTATCTGATTTACTGATCAACTTTTTTCGTGACTTTTTCTATAAATAGATACATAGCAAACCTTTATTGAACCGCCTAAGCTTCTTTTCTTTTTCTGAATCAATATTTTCTCTTTTGGCAAAAAAAAAAAACAAACAAAACTTCCAATGTCTAAATTTGTCTTCCGAACTAGTGGATACACTATCGCTGAAGACAAAGCCCTCGTTGAGGCGTACATTGATATTACACAAAATCCAACTATTGGGATGTATAATCACTTGATGATTTTTGGAAGAGAGTTTTGGAGGAATACAATAAAGAAGCAAATCCCAAAAGGTGGGCTCAACGTAATGGAAAATCTTTGATGCAAAGATGGCAAAAAATAGAGAAAGCCGTTAAGAAATTACGTGCATTGTATAAACAAGTGGAGGATATGCATCCTAGTGGTACAAATACAAAAGATTATATAAGTAACTACATATTTATTTGTGTTTTATTTATAATTTTATATATCTTTTATCAATAGGTTAACAATTGTATAAATATTATTTCAGTTAGATCGTGCCAAATAGTTATTTGCACTTGAGAAAGGATTTGAAAAAGGGTTCAAATATGATCACGTCTGGAATTTGCTCAAAGATTTTACAAAATATAACGATGGTGTCACGCAAGCACGACACCTATTCAACCAAACCTCCACTTTTGTATCATCTGAATCTCATAATCCAACACCGGAAACCCAAGTACATGAGTCTCCTATCATGTCTAACTTTGATTCTCAAATGGTGATTGAAAGTGATACTAGCGGATCTTCTTCTAAAAGACCTATTGGTGTAAAAAAAGGTCAAAAATAAGAGAAAAATGGATGAACAATCTACTCGTGAGATGGAAATGTATAGAGAAGAGAATCAACACCTTCTTGATGTTTTAAAAAAGACAAGTGAAGACAAAAAACAGTTAATAGCACTACAGAAGCAAAAGTTGATTTTGAAGCAATGGAGGGAAGAAAACAGAATTATGGCACAAGATGTGACTAAAATTACCGATCCTATTTATCGTGCTGTTATCATTGGTGAAAGAGAACGAATTCTTCAATAACGATTGGTGCAAATGCAACCACCACCAAATACTACTTTTAGGGATCTATTCAACAATGGCGGAGATGCAACTAATCTCGGGGATAATTTTCCGTAGTTGATTCGTGTTTATTAGTTAAGCATTTTATTTATTTTCTTAATAAGTGTGCTTACGTATTTGGTTAGTTGAATGTTGTTTTACTTTTCGATAATTTGGTTGTTCTAATATTGATGTATTTGTGTTTTATTTACTGTAATGTTAATTTGGGTTTTTCTAATATTGATGTATTTGTGTTTTATTTACATTAATGTTATTTGATTACAAGAATTTTTATTTTTATTCCAATATCACATCATTTATTATTTACTTATAATAATTTAATAATAATTGGAGCTCTTGAACAATACAATAAATTTAATTAAGATTATTCATTAAGTTTCTACAATTTGAAGTCAATCAATAATGACAAAAAATATAATTGTAGGGCCTCCAAAATTAGATTAAAAGTAACCACAAAAGGGGGGGAGGGGAGGAGGGGGGGAAGAGAACGTGCGTTTGCTGTTGCTACAGTAGCGTAGCAAATTAGGCACGCTACTGTAGCAGCTGCAGCATTTTGCTACTTGGATTTGCTGATTTGGTACGCCGTTGGAGGCTCCTTAAATTATGAATGTGTGCAATAGCTGTCTAATAAAAAATAAGAATATTAAAGTGTTTTTTTTTTTTTAAAGAAAACAAAAAACAAAACCATTATTCATCTTAAAAATATGAATATGGATCATTACAAATTAGAGTAAAATGTCCAAATGGTCCTTTATATTTGGGCTTACTTGAATTTACATCCCTAACATCAACATTTCAATATTATAGTCCAAAATATTATGTTTTCACACTTTTTTTTGTCCTATTTCACTGTTTCGATCACTTTTCTGTCCAACTAGATGTTGACCGGCAGTTGACATGCTGGAATCAAGGGTATTTTCATCTTTTCATATAATTTGAACTTCCATTAAAATTTAAATCATTAAAAATATTATAAAAATTTACATTTATTATTTAATTGGTAAAATATTATTTTAAATTTAAATTATTTTCAAAGTTACTTTTTTCTTTACTATTTACTTTAATGTTAATTATTTTGTACTTTTAACCTCAACCCACACAGTAAATAATTCAAAATTCAAATTAAAAAAAAAATCAAAACCAATAAATCCTAAATTATTTTTAAAATTTTACCGCTATATTAATTAAATCAAAATTCAAACTTTTTTTTAGAAAATAAAATGCAAGAAAATTGTGGGGGTGAAAATCCGTATAAAAAATAGTTTATTTAAGTTTTTGGCTTTGTTATTGGTTTGAAATCGAGATATAATTTAAAATGTGGTTTTAGTGAAAATTCAAAAAATTGTTGGTATTTTATTTTAAATAAAATAATATTATTTTTACACCACCACCGGCGCCTGTCGTCGGACCACCCATTGCCGCCGTCGGACCGTCGCCGGCCGGCGACTGCCCGGCAAGATTCCGACGAGATCCCGGCGACTTGGCCGAAATTTGGCCGGAATCCGATCGGCCGGCGGCGGCAGTGGATGGTCTGGCGGCGAGCGCCGTGGTGGAGGTAGTTGTGTAAAAATAATATTATTTTATTTGTAATACTATCCTAACAACTTTTTAAATTTACACTCAAAACCATATTTTAAATCATATCTCCAACTCAAAACAAAAATAAAAATAAACCATTTTTTTATCCGGGTTTTCGCCCCTCCATTTTCTTCCCTTTGGGCCCGCTGGATTTTTTACTTTGACCGATTAAAAAATGAAGGTGAAAATCCGGATAAAAAATTTAGTTTGCTTTTCATTTTGTTTTAAACAAAAAATTAAATTTTAAATTAGTTACTGTAGTGCGGTAATATTTTAGAGTGATACAGGGTTAAAATGAAACGTAATTAATATTTATTTTGTATCATAAATAGAAAAAATTGATATTTTAAAATAATGTAAAATTCATATTTTATATTAATATTTTAAATTATAAAATAATATTTTAATAATTAAATGTAAATTTTATAATATTTTTAATAATTTAAATTTAAATGAAAGTTCAAATTATATAAAAAAGACGAAAATTCCCCTGATTCCGGCATATCAACTACCTGTCAATATCGAGTTGGACGGAAAAGTGGCCGAAATAGTGAAATGGAACAAAAAAAAAAGCGTGAAAACATAATATTTGGGACTATGATATTGAAATATTAATGTTAGAGATGTAAATTCAAATAACTAAATGTAAAGAATCAAATGAATATTTTAGTCTTACGAATTATAAACAAATACATATCGTTTCACTTGACAACAAATGCATCTTTATCTTCTTCTTCTTTTTTCTCCTCCCTCTTTTGTGCTTTGAAAAAAATGGAAAATATTTTTATGTCAAAATTTTATGTTATGACATCGTGCAACCGGAATATTTCAAACCCCAGCAATGTTGCAAATTCTCAGTTATGATACTTTTGTGTTATAGTAATGGTAACAACAGCTAAATAACTGATACGTGCTTTTATGGTCAATATCAACATTTTAACCAAATATTTCCTTTCGAAATAATTATTCAGTTTAGATTTTCATTTTTATCTGTAATAGTAAAATTTAAATTGGACAATAATTTATTTTTCCTTGAAATTATTCATTTTGAATTTTCATTAATACAATCGAGAAAATTCAAACTGGACTATCATTTTTGGATCAAGAGAATAATGATCAACATGAGTGATCATAATTTAAAAAAATTTGGCAGTTGTTTTTTCTCAAACCTTAGGGGAGGCACGGTAATTAACTCTCAATAAGTATGTAACAATAATTAAAATATTTGTCTATTCGAGGGAAAGCTTGAATATAGTTAGGGCAATGATTTCGGAAACAGCGATATACATATTAAAAAAAAAAACACTTTCAAAAAATTCCAAATTTCCATTCAAGATGTAAAGTGAAGAACATATATGGGCTTTCTCCATTGCCCGCATTTCAAGCTTATACCCAAACCCATATAAAGGGTCCAAAAACTATTAAAGTTTTCTTTTTTTTTTCCCCTCACTCCGTTCTGCTACTCTGTTTTCTCTCAAGAAGCGTGATGATTCAGGCTCAATTCTAGCTCGCAATTTCACAAACACATTGGGTGCATGATGATTCGATTTGTGTAATCTACAGGTACCATTTTCTTCCCCTTCAATTTATCATACTGCTCTCGTTATCTGTTCAAAAGAGTTGCAGATTTTTGTTGTTGTGACTCTTTCTTATTTTATCTGTTTGGTATTTTCTTCTTCGATTGTTATCTATGGATAAAGCTGTTGTTTTGCTCTCAAAATAATTTTCGATAGAAGTGAAATTGTTTTGAATTGTTTCACTGTGAGGTAGACGAGCAATTATCCTTTTGTAGTTGTGGTGTTTGGAAACAACAGGTCCCCGTTGCATTGAAAATGAGATTTAGTCGGATTTGAATGTGGTTATTAATGAGTTAATATCGTTAAAACCAGTTCCCCGTCCCCAAATTTTAAGCAATGCGGAATGCCGGAATGTGTATATGTTATCTTAGGCGAGATTTTTTTTTTCTTTAATATTTGTGCATGGTTGTTGAATTACTTCATGTGATTGGGTAGGGTGTTGGTTGATTGAAGCCTTGAAACTCAATATGAGTGCTAAAGTTGAACATTCATCAACCACTGGAGCTGTGATGCCCCCAGCTTCAACAGCAAGCGGTGTAAAAGTTTCCAAGTTTGCAACAAAATCTGGGTTTCTAATACCAAAGAATAAACTATCTGGTTCTTTGATTCCCATTTTCCGGGGGAGTAAAAAGGGAATTGTTGATGCATCAAAGGAGGACAATGATAAACAAGTGCAGAGAAAAACCAAATGGGGACCTGATTTGACTCAAGATACAGCTGTTAAAAGAGGAAGAGCCTTAGCATATCAGGTAGCTAGGTTACTTTCTGAATCTTTGTTCCATTAGCTATTTTTATGCGTACGTGCTCTTTCTACTTTATTGTTTCTAGTGATGTATGCGATAGAATTTTTCTTCCGTGTTTTACTCTCATTTTCTGGTCAACTTTTTCCCTCGAAGGAGATTTTCTGTTTTCTTGTTCCTTTCCATAATATTGTCTCTTCGGTTTTTGAGCTTGTAGAAACAGGTTGCAGCATCCATTTCCCTACCTAACTTTGGCGTAATATTTTACTGCTCTCGACTTCCTCAGTCCTGAAATTATTGTCCAGTTTGGATTTTCAAGTTTAGTTCAAATTGTGCTAAAAGTGAAAATCAAACTGGAAAATCATTTTGGGACAGAAAGAGTATGAGTGAAATCTTTCTTTTGCTTAAATGTCAAAGTTTCATTCTGTTCTATGTGAATGGCTTGCATCCACTCCCATGCCAGGTATGACTTAGTGATATTGCTGCCTGTATGGTAACACAATATTTGGGCAGACTCGGGTTGACCAAATAACTGAGGAGCTAAGATGGGGGAAGTCGAAGACCTGGGATAATCAAGATTTGGCATCTCAAGTTCCGGACATCAACTCTTCAAACCATCAGTATAAATCTCAGGTATGATGAATTTGAAGCGTTCTGCTGGAGATAGTTTCGATTGTACTTATACCACCATGTTTACTATGTAGGAGCTAGAAACCTTGGAACTTGAGAAGCGAGAAGCTATTGGTAAGATTGACCTAAGACTTTGAGATATCATCATTTTGTTGATAATCATTTTCTACCTATTCACTTGTTCTTGATTATTCAGGTGAATTATTGAAGTTAAATCCACGCTATAAGGCCCCTGCTGATTATAAACCCTTGCTAAAAGAAGCTAAAGTTCCGATCCCTGTGAGTTAGTGGAGTATGTGTTTTTATTGTTTCTTCTCTGTTCATGTACTCATCCCTGAAGTGCAAATTCACTAAATTGGGTCCTAGCTCTAAATTTCTCTATTATTTCAAACATTTCAGTACCACTATCACCTACATGTCGCCTGGCGGCTATCCATTTGACAATCGAAGCTCTGATTTTCAGCAAGATTGACATAAAATCTTAAAAGAATAGATTATTTAAACTGAAAGTTATTTGGATATCTCATCTATAGGTTGAAAGTGAAATTAACTTGAATCGTAATTAAAGACAATCCCAGAGTCGTACTAGCAGGAGGAAAAATTGGCTTGTATTTTGGAGCGCATGTGATGTTTATTTCCGAGGAATAACAAATTTTCATCTGTTCTTCTATCCTATATATTTTTCCTTTCTAAAGGTGGGTTGCCTGTTGTGTCCTTTTCCTCTTTTCTACGTCAAAAACTCTTATATTACTTATTAGCTTCTGACATTTGTCTATTTGGCCATTTGGTGCTATCTGTTAGTTCTATATTCTCTCCTTAGACATTTTGGATTTGAGATTGTGTATGGTGAATTGTTCATTGTGATTTCAGACGTTATAGCTGTTGAGTATTTGGTCTTATTGAGGAGTCTATTTGGTCTTATTGAGGAGTCTATTGAGGAGTCTTATTGAATTTTTGTTGAGGTTTCTGGTTTGATGAAATTGGATTTTAGATTCTGGTGAGTCTATGCTAAAGCCTGATGTGGAATGTTAAAATTACATGGAGAACCAAACAAGCTTTGTGCTTAGTTTTTGTCTGCCCTCATTTTGTCTGTCTTTTGTCACTAAAGTTCTGCTATCTTTCTTTAAGAGTTGGTGTATTATTACTGCTAATATTAGGTCTTCTGTTTGTTGTTCTCTCTGCAGATAGCTGAATGTCCTGGACATAATTATGTTGGTTTGATATTTGGCCCTGGAAATGACACTCATAAACGACTGGAAAAGGTTTGTATCTTAATTGTGTTAATTCCGCCTAATTGATGTTAGAACTAATATTAATTTTGTCCCACGTCTGATGTATATCAGGAAACTGGTGCTAAAATACGAGTCTATGGTTTAGAAGCAGATACAGGACTGGAGGTAATATTTATTACAAATTAGGCTTATGATCTTCTGATATTACAGATATTCCTTTCTGGTTGTTGCGTGTTTCAGATGTACTATGATTTTCCTTCTCTGAATCTAACTATCCATAAAGCATCTTTTGCATTTCTTCTGCTTTAGCATTTAACTGTCATCTCTAATTAGTTTCTCTTGGATATACGTTCATTTCGATTCTCTTACGTTTTCCTCGTTCATCATTTGTTATTTTCTCAGGTTCAAATTTCTGCCACTGATGGAAGTGATACGTATGGAGGTTACAGTGACTTTCATGTTCATATATCAGCTGACACATATGAGAAGGTTGACGCTGCAGTGGCTCTGATTGAGCTGCTATTTATGCCAGTTTCAGTGAGTTCTAGATTTCATAGAATTTGAATTCTCATCCATAATGATAATTGAATGTCACCTGGGGCTTAATATCTTCTTTCCTCATCACAGAATATGGTTTTGATCCTCGTCCACCATTTTGCCTTCTTGCTTTGCTCTTCACCTCTTTAGAAAAGAACAATGGAGTTTAGTTTGTGCTCGTGAAAATGTTTGTTCTTGCTGAAATATACTTTACATTTTTCTTCTTGATAAAGGTAACCTGCTGCTTCCTACATTCTTTAGGGACATCCTGCTTCCGGTTCCATCCCTTCGGTGTGCAGTGAGAATGTGAATAGTAATGCTATTGCTCAAGGTAAACCTAGCAACGACATGGGTGGTGCTGCGGCAAGTGCTCAACCAAATATGGCAGCTGAATTGAATGATTTTCCGCAGAGTACAGGGCCATGGTTTTCATTGACCGAAATGTCTCCACCCTTCAATCCCTCAATGTTTGGTCCTCGATCAAGTGCGTCTGCTGGTTTTACTCCCGTTCCGCAAAGCCCCGCATTTGTCCCCTTGGGGCCAAGGCAACCACCAGTATCGCAGCATCAGTATCTACCCCAGCCACCACCCGTACATCATATTGGCGCTCCTAGAAATATGTTTATGCCAGTTTCACAGTCTGCATCTATTCGATCAAATATGACGCCCTCTCAAGTTTTATCTAATCAAGCTGCTGGTGCTGAGCCTGGCCCATTTTTCAGGCCTCTTATACCCTCATTGCCTCAGTCTTCTCATGCGGCAACTCTTTTGGACCAGCCACAGGCTCCTTCTGGTTGGTCTAAAGCACCATCTGAGAACCAAACATTAATAGGCTCCGGAACTATGATGCCTAAGGCACCTGCAGTTAGTGGTTCGTGGGGCCCATCTCCCCTGGCTTCACAACCAGCTAGTGCTGCTGTCAATAACCCCATCAGTGTACCATTCTTTAACTCTGGTGCACAATCACAAATGGGGTTTTCACCTACTCAGTTGTCTCCAGCAGTAGCATCACCTATACCATTTCAAGGCCCTCCTCCATCCGTTGCACCAATGCAGCCTGTTGTACCACAGATTCCTAGAGCTAATTCATCTCTTAATGTAGTTCCCGGATCCACCCCTCTTCTTTCACCCATGCAGTCTAACCCGGCACTACTTCCAGTTTCTGGTTCTGGAGGTGCTGGAAGTTTTAATCCTATGGCACCTCCACATATGATTGGTCCTAGACCACAACAACCCAGTGCGAGTGATTTTACTTTTCAACCTCACAGGCCGCAACATGCAGAATTTGAAGTGTCTAATAGGCCTCAGGTTCGGCCTATTCATGTAACTCCGAACCAGTCATTGCTGCCACCTCAGGGATCCCAAAATCCATTTGTTCAGCCACCAATTCACAATTTGAGATCTCCATTCATGGCTCATGGTTTCGGAAGACCCAGTGTTGGGAGTCAGATGGTGCACCCTGGAGCTCAAACTTCTTTGGACTTTCAGGGAAGCTTATCAGGAATTCCACCTAGGCATGCAGCAAATGCAGGCCCTTTAATGCAGCCAAGGAACTTCAACATGGCTCCACCACCTGCAAACTCTGGTGCTGTGTTCCCTGGACCTGGGGATCCCTTGCAATTTCAGCACAACCACCCCGCTGCAGCGACAAGGCCACAGGGTTTTGTTCCTCCAAATCCGCAGATCAACAGTAATGCCACCTTTAATAGGCCATCTCCAAACTCTTTCAGATTTCCGCAAGTATACGATCCCTTCTCGCCGACATCCGTGTCTCACAATCCTCGGCCGAGCAATAATGGAGCAATGAGGCCGAAACAGGAGAGCAATGACCCTGAATATGAAGACCTGATGGCTTCAGTTGGTGTAAAATGATGTAAACAATGGTTTTGAGTTTGAGATGCGAAGCTTTTAACCTAAAAAAGAAAAAAAACACGAAATGTAATAGAGGATAGTTACGATCATCAGGTGCCCCCTGACATTGTGGTGTATTAGGCTGATCATTTGTACTTGTAATTTTATATTGAAGAAAGCAGGTGAAGTTAAACTTCTGCTTGGATGACAATGTTTTCATCTTATGTTCGTTCTGTGAACACGATACGAGTTTTGCAAAGAAATTGTTTAATGAGAGTTAGCTGTTAATCGAAAGTTACTTCCGGTCTAAAAAAGATAGATATCTTTGTTGAACCAAGTAATATAATTAGAGTGAATTCCAAAATGTGCCAATTTAGGGTTAACTTCTTCCATTGTAACCAAAAAAAAAAAAAAAAAAGTGGTACATTTTGGTAAGAGTATAATTTTTAAATTCATCTAAGGGAAGTCTCCTCCACTGTAAAAAAGAAAGAAAAAGTAGTTTTATAAAAAGATAGTTATTATAAAACTAGGATCTAGATACAATGATCTAAAGTAAAGGTACTAAAATTTAATTAGTGATGATAGTTATAACTTCTTTACCAGAGACTTTAATATAATAATCTAATAGTCTATATATTATGAGATTATAAGATTTAAGAAGAAAATAAAAATGGAATAATTTTACTTTGTGAACCAAAAAAGTAGGAGGAAGAGAGATAATCCATTCGGTACAAAATTTTCATTACTTGAGCATTCTTATTTAAAGGTAAATTTTGCAGACAAAAATGCTCAATTTTCTTCTTCTTCATTTAATGTAAACATTCGGTGGGTTAATGTCTTTGACAATTTTCGACATTCATTTATTTCTAACAATCCCCTTTGAATGTCAAAATAAATTACGCAAATAATACTGCCTCGTTAAAAACCTTGTTAAAATAAAACCCAGTGGGAAAAAAAAATTTAGCGAAGGGAAAAAAAGTGTAGTGCGTAATTGTCTCCCCCTGATGATAACATCGATAATTCTTCACATGCTGTGTAGATGACGCATTCCGATGTTATGAACATGTTTTCTGAAAACTGTTGTAGGAAGTGACTTTGTGAAGAGATCAGCTGAGTTTTCACTGGATACGACATATTGAATATCAATTTCATTATTCTTCATGAGCTCTTTGGTACATGCGAAGAACTTCGGACGTATATGTTTAGTCCGATCATTCTTGATATATCCTTCTTCCAACTGATGAATACAAGCGACGTTATCTTCATACAATATTGTTGGATTTTTCTCGACGAAAGACCGAAGAAGTCTTGATATGTTGTGTCATTGATCTGAGGCATACACATTCTCTACTTGTTTCATGTAATGCAATAATTTCTGCATGATTTGAAGAAGTAGATACTATTACTTGTTTCTGGGAACACTAGGAAATTGCAGTTCCTCCATATGTGAACACATAACCAGTCTGAAATTTTCCATGATGAGGATCAGATAAGTAATTTGCATCTGCATAGCCAATTAACTTTTGTTTCGAGTTGTTAGAATAAAATAAACCTAAATCAATACTTACTCGAAGATAACAAAATATATGCTTGATTCTATTCCAGTGTCTTTTGGTATGGAATTAGCTATGTCTTGCTAATAAATTGACTGCAAAGGAAATATTAGGTCTAGTAGAATTAGCAAGATACATAAGAGCTCCAATTGCATTCAGATATGGTACTTCAGGACTAAGGATCTCTTCATCATCTTTAGCTGGACGACGTGGATCTTTTTCGTCATTAAGTGTTCTGACAATCATGGGAGTACTTAAAGGATTTGTTTTATCCATATTAAAGCGTTTTAAGATCTTTTCTGTGTAATTTGATTGATGCACAAATATTCCATTATGCATATGTTCAATTTGTAAACCAAGACAATACTTAGTTTTTCCAAGATCTTTCATCTCAAATTCTTCCTTTAAGTATAACACAACTTTATCAATTTCTCTATGTGTTCCAATAATGTTTAAGTCATTAACATAGACAGCTATGATAACAAATCTAGATGTTGTTTTATTAATAAAAACACATGGACAAATAGCATTATTGGTATATCCCTTATTTGTCAAATAATCAATTAAACGATTATACCACATGCGTCCAGACTGCTTTAACCCATATAATGATCTTTGTAGTTTAATTGAATACATTTCTTTTGCCTCTGCATTTGAAGCTTTAGGCATTTTAAATCCTCCAGGGATTTTCATATAAATATCACTGTCAAGTGATCAATATAAATAAGCAGTTACAACATCAATAAGACGCATTTCTAATTTTTCAGAAACTGCTAAGCTGATTAAGAATCTGAACGTAATTGCATCCATAATAGGAGAATACGTTTCATCGTAGTCAATTCCAGGTCTTTGTGAAAAACCTTGCCCTACGAGTCTAGCCTTGTATCTGGTGACTTCATTTTTCTCATTTCGTTTTCGTACAAAAACCCATTTATATTCAACAGGCTTTATATCTTTGGGTGTGAGAATAATGGATCCAAAAACTTTTCTCTTATTAATCGAATCTAATTCAGCTTGCATAGCGTCTTTCCACTTTAGCCGATCATGTCTATTTTGACATTCTTGAACTGATTTTGGTTCAGGATCATCACTTCCGTTCGTAATTTCACATGCAATAGTATAAGAGAAAATCTCATCATTATAATCAATTTCATTTCTATTCCAACGCATTTTTGTACTGTTATAATTGATTGAGATTTTTTCATTCACTTTTTCAGTATTTTCATCAGGAGAATCTTCTTTGCCTTTTGATTCTTCAGGAACATTTTCATTGACATTATTTTTTGATCTCTTTCTTATTCAAAAATTTTTATCCTTTGAACCAATCGGTCGCCCACGCTTCAAACGTGGTTTAGACTCTTGAGAAACTTTATCCTCATATTTTATTTCTGGGATTTTAATACAAGTAGGAACATTAACTGCTGGTATATGTGATTTAGTTACTCTTTTTATATCAGTAAAATCATCTGGCAATTGATTTGCAATTGCTTGTAAGTGCACAATCTTTTGCACTTTCATTTCACATTGCTTTGTTTGAGGATCAAGTACAATAGTGATGGTTCATTCCGTGCGATATCATTTACTACTTCTTTTCTTTCTCCCCCTAATTTTGAGAAAATAACCTCATTAAATTGACAATTAGTAAAATGTGTTGTAAGAGCATCACCTGTTAAAGGTTCAACATATTTAATTATATTGGGTAATTCGTACCCAACCTATATTCCCAATCTTCTTTGGGACCAATTTTTGTGCATTGCATTAGCACAATGTGTACATATACTGCACAATCAAAAACTCTAAGGTGTGAAATATTTAGTTCAAATCCAAGTGCCAATTGCAGTGGGAAGTATTTATGATCCACACTAGGTCTTATTCTTATTAGTGAAGCAGCATGTAATATTGCATGGCCCCAAATATAAACAGGTAACTTTGTTCTCATAATTAATGGTCTAGCAATAAGTTGCAGTCTTTTAATCAATGATTCTGCTAAACCATTTTGTGTATGTACATGAGCAACAAGATACTCAACAATGATTCCAGTAGACATACAATAATCATTAAATGATTGAGACGTAAATTCACCAGCATTATCAAGTCTAACCCTTTTTATTGTATAGTCAGGAAATTGAGCTCCTAGTTTTATGATTTGAGCTAAAAATCTTGCAAATGCAACATTCCGGGTTGACAATAAACATACATGAGACCATTTACTAGATGCGTCTATTAGAACCATAAAATATCTTAATGGTCCACTTGGTAGATGTATTGGTCCACATATATCACCTTGAATCCACTCAAGAAACATAGGTGATTCATTTCGGACTTTTAGTGGTGAAGGTCTCAATATCAATTTTCCAAGAGAACAAGCTGTATATGGCAATTCATTACTTTGAGGTATCCTTTGTTCTTTCAATGGATGTCCGTGTGTATTTTCAACTATCCTTCACATTATTATTGAACCCGGATGGCCCAGCCCTTCATGCCATAAATTTAACATTAAATGATAGAAGGATTTTGATTTCGTTGTCATGTTTAATTCAATGTATGTATAATGCAAACCATTAGAGAGCGATAACCTTTCAAGTGTTTGAATCTTTCCAGACTCATATCTAATAATTTTCAAATATTTTACACCATCTATTGTCATAGATTGTGTATCATATCCATTTCGGTATATTTCATCAAAACTCAAGAAATTTCTTCTGGAATTTGGTGAGAACAAAGTTTCATCGATCACAAATTTTGTTCCCTGACGCAATGCAATTTTGGTTTTACCAATTCCTTCAATCAAGTTTGTAGGACCTGATATTGTATACACAATTGCCTTTGTTGCTTTAAATTCAGTAAAACTTTCTGTTTTTCAAGATATTATGTGTAGTGCCACTGCCAGGTATACAAAAATCACCAAAGCCGCTTTTAAGTTGAGTTCCACTATGATCCATTTCAAAAACTTCAAAATAGAAAAATAAATAATTAACAAGTATCATAAGGAAAAACATCAAACATAAATATTTTACATAAATTCATTACAATCCAACACAATAATACAACTTCAAACATATATTACAAATACATTTATTTCATCAACAAAAATACAAGAACTCAATAACATATAGCCACTTATGTCTCAATTATCAGCATAATCATCAGTGAAATCAGAAGCATTCAGATGTGTTTCCCCATTCTCATTATAACAGAGCTCATTGAGATTAACTTCCTTTTCTTTTCCCTTTCCTTTTGATGCTTGACACAATTCAACCAAATGTAGTGTCGTACGACAGACTCATACCCAGCGATTAGTGCCACCACAACGGAAGCATGAATCATCATCTATTTTCTGTGGTTTTCTTGTTTAGCCACTTTTTGCTTTTTGATTAGCCGACTCTGATTATTATTCTCATTGAAGTGAACAAAATTCTAATTTTTTTCTTGGCCTCGACCATGGCCATAGCCATGTCCACGACCACGACCACGGCCACGGCCTCAGCCTCGTCCTCGCCCACGGTTATTATATGATTTGGATCCATGAGTATTTATAGCATTTGGATGCATGAGTATCCATGAGAAGCTCTTGAGCCTTTTCTTCGCACTGAAGTGCATATGACAGATCACAATAAGTCTTATATTTCAGTAATCTGTGTGTAGCTGCAATAGTGGTATTAGAAGCATCAAATGTGGATAAAGTTTTATGTATCATTTCAGCATCAGTGACATCACGTCCACAATATCTCAATTGTGAAACAATTTTAAACATTGCTTAATTATATTCATCAACTTTTTTAAAGTCTTGAAATCTAAGTGCTCTCCATTCTTCATCAGCAATATTTAACAACATTTCTTTCCTGTTATCAAATCTCACACTAAGATCCTTCCAAATAACAAAAGGATCTGTGACATTTATGTAATCAGCTTTCACATCATCATCAATATGTTTGCGAATAAATATAATCGCGATTGCTTTATTTTGTGGAGATTCAGTATTATCAGGACATATAGTTTCTGAAAGCCCCTTTGATTCCAGATGGCTTCCTACATCTGTTTTTCATGACATGTAGTTTGTTCATGTGTGTTTAAGAATTTCGAATTCGAGCTTTGACAAATTGGAAGATATTTTGCAGCTAAATAAAACACAAAAGAAACACAATTTTGGATAAAATAATTTGTTAAGTAAATCTAGCAATGAAGTACAGTGATAAAATACACATTATAAGAACTCATAAATGAAAAATAAAATCATCGCGTTCTTTTAGATAAAATATCATAACAATATGTACACTAACTATTATCATGCAAAAGATAGAAAGGAAAGACATGTGAAGAGAAAGAATATGTACACTAATATGTACACAACAATATGTAAACTAATATTTTTTTTTCTTAAAAATAAGAAGAGAAAGAAGGAGAATATGTGAAGGTGTGTAAATGAGATTTAGAAATGATGTATTTATAGAGAAAATTTAAGATTTCGGTCGTTATACAGCCGTTAATATATCCGTTAAAACCAGTCGTTATACACGTATTTTTATACTTAAAAATATAATTATATTTATATATATAATTGTTAAAATTCAAATAATTTAAAATAAACCAATTAAAAGTAATAATTGAATGAGGACAAATAACTTTATCTCAGTTAAATTAAAAGTAAACGATTTGTTAGAGACAAATAATTGTAGTAGGGATTTATCCATCATCCCACCATAAATTAGATATTGTATATAGGGACATAGAAAAATATACCACAATGAAAATCTAAATAAAGATCTGAAAATAATTGCATTAGGGATATATGAAGTCATTCCACAAGAATGTAAATTATATAAATATTTACATAGGGATATATTAAAGCATCCTACTATAAAAATAAAACTCGAGACTTGAGCAAGGACAAGTCTTTAAATAAATTGCAAGAAATTAAATGACTTGAATATAAATTAGGATGTGTTATAGAACTATCCATATGAAATGTAAATACTGAATAAGAAATTTTATACATTTGTGGATTGCAGAGACGTCATGCTGATTACGTGTTATAAAACTAGGGTCTAGATACAATGATCCAAAGCAAATGTACTAAAATTTAATTAGTGATGATACTTATAACTTCTTTACTAGAGACTTTAATATAATAACTTTCTAATAGTCTATATATTATGAGATTATAAGATTTAAGAAGAAAATAAAAATAAAATAATTTTACTTTTTGAACCAAAAGAAGTAGGAGGAAGATAATTCATTCGGTACAAAAATTTTCACTGTTTAAGCATTCTTATCTATAGGTAAATTTTGCTGACAAAAATGCTCAATTTTCTTCTTCTACATTTGATGTAAAAATTCGGTGGGTGAATGTCTTTGACAATTTTTGACATTCATTTATTTCTAACAGTATTTTAATTTTCGTAAGAGTATAATTTGTAATACTAATTAATCTAAGGTTTTGTGAAGTATTTTTGTAAGAAGTTAAACCCTCAGCCTCATTTCACCGTCCTCATCCTTCCCCTCTCACCTTCTCCACCATAACCACCGTCAACCACCACTTCCCGAAGCCGTCCCTGTCTCCTCCGTTCAGTCTTGGATTTTCCTACAAACCAACGAACTAATTGAAGTGGGCTATAAATAATAATAGTAATAATAGCTTGGGTGAATGAAATTCGGGGAGAAGGAAAAAGAAACCCGGACGAAGGAGACGACCGCCCGAAGATAAACCGAACTGAGTCTCACTCAATCCCTCCGTAAGCAACTTTCCTTTGAATCTTCCAACTTTTGCTTTTAGTAGCTTGCATCAGTTCTTTGTTTCGATTTTGTGATTAACTTGACAATTTTTATGGTTGTTTTTCTATCCGTTAAGCATTTGATTAGTACATAAAGTAGCTGCTCTCTGTACCACCTTGATTGTAGCTAATAATAAGTCTGGGGGTTCTGTATGGGCAATTAAGACAGTAGAAATGTAGAATGGAGTCGTGGAGCTTAACTACTCAACTTAGTTGTTCTGTTCTTTAGTGTTTCAGGAAGTGTAGGGACTATGGAATATGGATTGAATTGGTGCCGGGTTTTAGAAATTGATACCAGAATACCATTATAACAGTTTTGCAAGTCTTCAACTTTAACTGAAACATAGACCATATATAATCTTCAATCCAGAACTGAGGCTTCGTAAGAAAATTTAATCAACTACAAAAGTCCTTAACTAGAACGGTGTGGTTTTACATCACAATTATAGATGATAAAGATAAAGAAAATAAAAATAAAAATGAGTTGTTGATATCGTTCAGATGAAAAAATCTCAAATGGATTCAGTACTGATAATTGGATCCGATTCTTGTATTTTAGGCCAAAGACTTGCCGGACCAGAACCCTGAATGAATCAATTTGCAGCAAAATTTAAACAATGTTCGAAATTGAATGACTTGGAGTCTCTTTATGCTTTCATGATCAAAAACAATAAAACACAAGATTCCTTCTTGGTAAACCAGTTTATCTGCGCGTGTTCAAGTCTTCGCTGTACAGAATTGGCTGCTGCCATCTTTCACGAGTTGAAAGATCCCAATATTTACATTTACAATGCCATAATAGGTTCCCTCCTCCGGTTTTCCCATCCAGTTAAAGCCTTAAGAATGTATATGGACATGTTGAAAACCGAAGTAAGACCAACTAGTTTCACATTTTCATCGGTCACAAAGAGCTGCACTGTTCTATCCGATTTAAACTCTGGCAATTGCATTCACGGACAGATTTGGAAGTACGGATTTGAATCTCACCTCCATGTTCAGACGGCTCTTATTGACTTCTACTCAAATTCAGGTAGGATTGGTGAAGCTAGGCGAGTCTTTGACACAATTGGGGAAAGAGATGGTTTTGCTTGGACGACAATGGTTTCATCTTATGTTCGTGCTGGGGATATGAGTTCTGCGACAAAATTGTTTGACGAGATACCCGAGCCAAGTACTGCATCATGGAATGCTATAATTAATGGATTTGCAAGAATTGGGAATGTTGAGTCTGCAAAAATGTTTTTTGATAAAATGCCCTTGAAGGATTTAATTTCATGGACAACAATGATAAATTGCTACTCTCAAAACAGATGCTACAAAGAAGCATTAGAGAGTTTCAATAAAATGAAAGATGAGGGGATTAAACCCGATGAAATCACCATGTCAACGATCATTTCTGCTTGTGCGCATCTTGGCTGGTTGAACATTGGGAAGGATATACATATTTATCTTATGCATGCAAAATTCGATCTTGATGTTTACATCGGGTCAGCGTTGGTTGATATGTATGCGAAGTGTGGCGACATGGAGAGATCTCTTGTTGTATTTTATAAACTGAGAGAGAAAAACCTTTTCTGCTGGAACTCGGTGATTGAAGGGTTTGCGGCTCATGGTCATGCTAAGGAAGCTTTAGCAATGTTTCACATGATGATGAAAGAAAAACTAAAGCCAAATGGCGTTACCTTCATTAGTGTTCTCTCTGCATGTAACCATGCTGGGCTAGTTGAAGATGGAAGAAGCATATTTACTCGAATGACTCGTGAGTTTTCTATTGTGCCTGAAATGAAACATTATGGCTGCATGGTTGATCTGTTATGTAAGGCAGGTTTGCTTGAAGAAGCCTTGGAATTGGTAGGAAGCATGAGAACGGAACCAAGCTTGGTTATTTGGGGATCCTTGCTTACCGGTTGCAAGCTTCACAAGAATTTGGAGATTGCTCAATTGGTTGTCGATAAATTGACAGTATTGGAGCCAAACAATAGTGGATACCGGAATCTTTTGTTGAATATGTACGCTGAAGCAAATCAATGGGGTGAAGTTGCTAAAATAAGGGCTAATATGAAGAATCTTGGTGTGGAGAAACAATGTCCTGGGTCGAGTTGGATTGAATTGGACAAGAAGATCTTCCAGTTTGCTGCGTCTGAAGATTGTCTTCCAGCTTCCAAAGAGATTTACTGGCTATTGGATGTTCTTGCTGCACAACTTAAGTTTACTTACACACCTGAATTTAACTTAATTTGCTGACAAGGGAATATAGGCCAAATCTATACAATCATTTAGGAAGGTTTAGACTTTAGACAATTAGAGTTTTTAGGCATTGGTCTGACCCTTACCACTTTCGAAAAATATTAGAAGACACTGTAATAACCTAGGTGCTTTAAAAAACATCAGCATAAAAAGCAACTAAACCTTGAACCTTTTGACATTAATGGGATTACTTGCAGCAAAGAGATTCTGCAGGAGTTAAAAAGATAAAAAGAAAAAAAAAAAAACACTCAACACCTGAGTTTGGATCCTTAAAGCAGAAGTCTCGGGGCTTTAACAATTTCACCGTCTACAAACTTTATATACTTTGTTTGTGGAGGAGTTAACTTGGTGAAATACAAATCTCTCCCTGTATATATCTACGTACTTCCTATCATTTGGTTTTTAATCATCTTCTTAGCACAAACAAACACCAGCAAATTGCAAAAACAGCCAAACACAGAACTCAAAATGGCTGAACTCTTTGTTCCAAAAATAATGGATCAGTTGACTGATGCTGCCTTGAAGCAAGTAGGGGAAAGAGCGAAGCTGCTGATGGGAGTTAAAGATGAGCTAAGAAAGCTGACAGATAGGTGGAAGACAATTGAAAGGGTATTGGATAATGCCGAAAAGAGAAAGCTCAAGGAGGAAGATAAGATGTCGGGTTATGGTTGGAAAAGCTTCAAGACATCTCTTATAGGACAGCAGATGTGTTGGACGAATGGGGCGTCAAGATCCTGAAACCGCATCCAAGAATGCCAACAACACTCTTGCAGAAGGTGCGTTCTTTGATCCCATCTCTATGTTCTTGTCTTAAACAAGTTCCAGTACGTCATGATATTGCCTTGAAAATTAAAGAGATCAATGATGAGGTTGAATCAATACTGAACGAAGCAAATAAGTTTCACTTTGTTACTAGTCTTAGCGGGGAGGTATATTATGAGAAATTTAACCGACCCCTGACCACCTCGATCCTCGATGTATCTCGGAGGTGCGCGGTCGAGATGCCGAGAAGGCAGCTCTTCTCCAGCATTTGTTGTTCTCCAAGAAGAGGAGGACTAATACAAATAAAGAAGTTGATGATGAAAAGAATGTTAAGGTTTTGTCCATTGTCGGGGTTGGGGGTAGCGGGAAGACCACGCTAGCTCAACTACTGTACAATGATGTCGAAGTGAAGAAACACTTTGATGTCTGGAAATGGATCTGTGTTTCAGATCCTTTCCACCAAAAGAGGATTGCCAAAGCTCTCCTCGAGGGGTCGCATCATGACTCATCAGAGCCAGAGTTGGAATCACTTCTCCAGCGTATAAAGCAATCCTTTTCTGGGAAGAGATTCCTCATTGTCCTTAATGATTTTTGGACCGAGGACAGTTCAAACTGGAAACCATTTAGAGACTCACTCAAGGATGGTGCTTATGAAAGCATAATCCTGGTGACTACAAGGAGTGAAAAAGTGGCAATTACAATGGGCACAGATCATTATTTCAATTTAGGTCTGCTGTCACAGTTAGATTGTTGGCTGATAATAAAGAAGATAGCTCTGTCTGGAAGGCCTGAGTTGTGTCACAAAGTAGAGAGGATCGGGCAAAAAATTGCAGAGAAATGTAAAGGCCTCCCACTTGCCGCAAAAATTATGGGAAGTCTTCTGCAATTTAGAGACAATCCACGAGAGTGGAGAGAAGTCTTGGGTAGTGAGATATGGCAAAGGGAGGATGTTGCTGTAAAACTTTTTCCTCATTTTTCTTTGAGTTACACTGAGCTATCCCCACAATTGGAGAGAAGTCTTGGATAGTGAGATATGGCAAAGGGAGGATGTTGCTGTAAAACTTTTTCCTCATTTTTCTTTGAGTTACACTGAGCTATCCCCACAATTGAAACGGTGTTTCTTGTATTGTGCAGTCTTTCCTAAAGACACAAAAATAGAAGTTGAGGAGTTAGTAAGATTGTGGATGGCTCAAGGTTATCTTGGTCATCCAAGTCAGGGGGGCAATGACAGAAGGGAAAAGAAGGGCTAAGAATACTTTAAACTTTTGGCAATGCGTTCTTTCTTTTCAGGAGGTCAAAATTGATGAAGAAGATGATCCTACAATGCTCTCTTGCAAGATGCATGACATAGTTCATGATTTTGCACAATTTGTTGCAAGAAACCAATGCCAAGTATTTGAAGAGGATGCCTGCCAAAAGGTAGAAGTTGGTAATGGAGGATATTTATCCACTGAAAGACTTCGCCATGTAAACATAATTGGCACAATCAAAACACTGGACTCTTCAATTATCCAGGGCATTGAGGAGGTGCAAAGTCTGTTCCTGTCATGCGGGGATCAACTTCCTCAAGATTTGAGTAAAAGTTTAAAATCAGTGAGGTCTTTAACATTGTCCAGGTGTTATGTACGAGAATTACCAGGGGAGATAGGAAATTTGTTTCATTTGAGGTTGTTGAATGTGAGTCATAATTTGTTCAAAGAGTTGCCAGAATCAATATGTGATTTATATTATCTGGAATCTCTGGATGTTAGGGGTTGTTGGGAACTTACTCTTCTTCCCGAAAGGATTGGAGACCTTATACACATGGGAAACCTTGATACTTCTGGGAGTTCTATTGAACGAATGCCAAGAGGGATAGGCAAGTTAACTTCACTTCGCGTTCTGACGGGCTTCATTGCTGACGTTGATGTAGAGTCCAGTTGTAATATTGTGGAGTTGAAACATTTGAACCAACTGGAACGGTTACGAATTGTTGGTCATCCCCATCGCATGGATTTTGAAGTTGCTCAATTGGAAAACAAACTTCATTTGGAATATCTGAGATTAGAGTTTGACAATAGGGGATTCGATTTCACAGCAGAAGTTGCAGATGTTATAATGGAGAGGATGGGTATTCCTCCAATGCTTCACCTTTGGGATTATCCAGCAAGGCAACTGCCGAAGTGGATCGTGTCTGAATCATTCCTCAATAATTTAACCAGTTCAGTCTTGTTTACGGCTACTTTCATTTCATGTTTTGCCTCGTTTGGGGAAGTTGTTGTCCCTCGAAAACCTCTCATTTGATCAACTTCCGAGCCTGAAACACTTAGGCCGCGAACTCTATGGATTAGACGATGATCATCTCCAGCAGGCACAACAAGGAGGTAACTACCATCTAGAATGCCATGATGTTGACAACACAGTAGCATTTCTCAGTCTGAAAAGATTATCCTTCACTGAACTAGAAGATTGGGAAACATGGGAAGACATAAGTGACGAGGAAACAGAAGAAAAAGCAGAAGGAGATCATCAGCCGAAAACGAATAATGCTGCTGCCAATATCTCAATCATGCCACGCCTTGAGATCCTAAATATTAAAGGTTGTCGTAATTTAGAAGCACTGCCGGTTGGGATCCTTGCTAAGGCGTCTTCCCTCAAAACCTTACATATCACCTGTTGTGATAAATTGGTGGAAAGATACTCGGACAAATCTGGAGAAGATTGGATGAAAATGTCACACATCCCAAACACAGTGTTACTCAGGTGAGTTCACAGTTCCGGATTTCCTTATCAATAGTAAAAATGCTTTATATTCTTTAAAAAACCACCACTACTAATTAATTTGTTATGTGTGACTATTATCCCAAAGTCCCAGCAATCGTGACTTACGTTTTTCTTTTGTTTTTGTCCTAACTGCAGTACTTATGATTACGTTATGATGCATATTATGGCTTGAAGAATTGAATTAACACGTCAGCAAGTCGCGGTATGTGCACGTCTTTGTGAAATTTAATGTCGTGCCTTATAAAATTTTATTTACATTTGGGGGTTAATTTTCCATTGTAGGTTATTCTATGCTGTGTGTAAGGGGTTGAAGGAATTCAAGCAAGTTGTTATAGGTAACTAGCTTGAATAATTCTCGTCTTTTTCTTTTTTTTTCCTTTTGGTGTGTGTGTGTGTGTGTGTGTTTCTGGATTTTTAAACTTTAACTTTAAAGGCAGCTGGATCCTCAGATGAAGAATCCCTCATATGAAGAAGAAAGTGACATTCGCAACTGAACTTGGAGAGGATGATGATACGAGGAAGTTGGTTTCCTTACCACTCGCTGGATCGGATGTGTCTTCTCAAGCTTACTGTTTTGGGTGTCCATGTGATTCAGAAAGAATCCATTCATTATTAAACTCTCAAAGTCGCGAATAAATGTACAATGAAACATGAAGATGACATGTATTTGATGAAATTCACACTTTTTATCATATCTCATTAATCATTAGAGAGTTTAGCTCAACCCAAGATCAGGATCTCATTTGTAGCCTGATTGAAATCGTTCCCCAAATTTTCATGGCCTCGTAAGTATATTCCCCTCGGCTGCGTTTTTCTTGTTTTGCATCCCAAGTTAGAACAAAGACGTAAAAGCCAGACCAAGCAAATGAAAGACAGGATACAAGTTTAATCATTGAAGAGTCGATCTTACCTCTCTGAAGATATATAATTAGATATCCGGTAATAGTGCGTCTAAAACAACAATAGGAAAAACAAACCATATCCTGAACCATGTTATGCTATTTTATTTACAAGAGCCATCGGCTACAGATTTAAGGTTAAAGCAAAACCTAAATTCAGTTTTTACAAGTGAAGAGTCCAGGAAAGGAAAGGAAAATCAACCAGAAAGACCAGATCTCAGAATCCTCTCCAATTTCTCAGCTTTCAGGTAGTCATTTTCTGAAAGAGGACCAGCTGGAAAAGCTGTAATTTCTATGGTCAGGTGTGGAGTAGGAAGTTCATCAAACAAGGCCCGAACGTTGTTGCAACAAACACTTTCTCCATGAGCATTCTGCCTTTTGATTTGACAACCCTGGGGACACAATGGACGGACTAGAGTCAACACTGACCGTTGCACATTCTTCAAAATTTTTTTGAGAAACATGATACGTGAAAGAAATTAGCCGTAGTCAGAGCAGAAGCTGGATTACCTTGTGAGAAGCAGCGTCTCTGAAGTGATCATCATCTGACAGTAATGAAGCAATGGCCTTAAGCAGACGACGCCCTTCAGATTTCGATGGCACCCTGTAGTTGCGCTTTAGAGTACCTTTTGTTGTTGGGTGCCATTTACTCACTAGTTTCCTCCTCTCAGTTGCTTCCTTATCTGCAGAAGAACGGCTTCTGCAGGTTATCCTAGTGAACTAATAATATACAGAACTGAATTCTTAAAATTACACATTCATTAAGAAAGGAATACACCAGCAACAAAAAGGGATAAGAATGAAGTCATTGTTTCAACCTTTCCTAAACTAGTACATCAGTCACCTTCACTATTTATTCCTGAACTTGGTAATTTTAACACGGGGCAAAAAATTCAATATCGATCCTATTAGGCCACGGGTGTTTCTCATGTGTCAACTTTTACTCCATACCCTCAGGATTCTTCAAATCTGATGTTTATTATTGATAACCTACCAATGCATTTTCCCTTCCACTACCCACATTTTCAAATCGGTCAAACATAAGATTACATACTAATATCGTTATCATACATCCCCACCGTATTTGAATCTCTATCAACCTTTGATGCAACCTATCCAAATTTAGAAAGTTCAACATGTAAGAAATATCAGGGTAGCATAACTCTTCTTGAGGGAAAGATAGGTCATCTGATGGCCACATATGAAAGGACCAAAGCTAATAACATCATTGGATCCCACTTACTATTATCACAACAAATTCATGTAGTAGCCAACTATAACTTCAAAACCAGGGACCTTGCGACTTCTAATAACGTTAACATTACAGGTCAAGCTTACTTTCGCATTCGACTCACTGTTCCAGAAAGAATAATGATTAAGCAGAATTCTTTAGTCCAAGAAGCTTTCCCTTTTTCCTGATTATAATCCCATTTTTTGTACATACAGTAGTGCTTTCATAAACAAGAGATTTTCTAGGTCGAAGGCCTGAGCTCCATTTCAAAACACAAGCTACTCAGCCAGAAAAGAACAACAGAACTGGAAAGGTATCCACAAACCTGGATTAGCTCGAAACTTCTCAAACCACTGAGAAAACCCCAAGTCGTCACTTTCAGTTTCCAAATCTAATCAACAAACATCAGCAAACACTTAGAAATTAGGATCACATTCCAAGAAACATTTAGGCAATATGCACAGAACAATAAAGGTTTTTTCGGGACCTGAAGGGATAAGAGGGCTTGAAGGAGATCCAGCTAATCCAGCCTTCAAAAGGGCATAAAAGATGCAAACTCGACCAGCCCACAAAACAGGAGCCTCAAGCAAAGTAGCGTTTATCGTCCTTGATCGAGTAGAAGAAGCAACTCCATTCCCACTAGAAAAAAGTGCGCCCCTTCCGGATTTAGGACTCAAACTGGAATGAAACTTGGAATCAAGGCTGGGAAGAAAAAGGGTCTTATTGGGCAGTAAAGATGAAGTCTTTGAGGTCTGATTCCTGGGACACCCACAGTAACACAAGTGGAGGGATTTGTCCAGATTCAATGGGGTCGTGTTTGCGGTGGTCTGGAGAAGCATTGCTCTTTCCCTGTCTCACACACAATACTCCTAGAGAACTCGGAAGAAATTTGAAAAAAAAAAACACACTCAAAAGATTACACTTTGACAAAAAATTTTCTTAGAATCCTAAGATACTGTGAGGGACGATGATCATGAATGAACCTAAAACCTTTTGAACTTTGTTCTTAAGAACAGAAAAATGAAAAAGGAAAATATCGTCGAGACAGGTCAAAGTTTCTATGACAAAGATGATAAGAATGAGCCCACTACAAAAAGAAATGACAAGAAAAAAAATCTCAGATTGAAAAAAATTTGGATAAAGCGAAAAAAGGAGCTGATTTCATTTGTTGGGCCGTGCCCAATTTAATAAGAGTATTGCATCAGAGAGATAATGAATTATTTGATAGAAATGAACAATTTGTGAGAATTCGATCACAAAGAAAGATATGATCATGAATATTTATTTGATGTTACTGAATATTTTTTAAACTTTTTCTATCATTCTTTCATCCATAATTAGAGGGGTCATTTAGAAAACTCGAGTCTTTTTTACTTTTCTGTCCCAAAAAAAAGTACTGTGTTTGAGTATTATACGATATATAATAAACATGGTTGTTATTTTTTATAGGCTATAAAATGGTATTATCAAACCAATATTTGGGTGCACTGCAGCCCATAGATAATAAAACCTCACGCAGACAGATATTTTTCCTTCCTTTTTGTTCTTTCTTTTGGGTTGTTTAGTGAAGGGCCAAAACCAAAAAGCATAAAGAGAAGAAAAAAAAATAAAAAATAAAAAATAAAATAAAAAGGCTAGGCACGTTTCGACAATCAGTGAGCACCTTCTTCCGTCCTCCTGGTACTGGAAGAGGAGGGAGAGCGTTCCGAAGCAAAACGAAACCAAAATCTTTATATTTCGAGCAACAAAGCATTAGTTAAATCTTTACAAACTTGATGTCGCTTTGCCCAAATGCAGTTCCACAAGCAGGACACTTGCGATGGCGTATCTCTATATTCCTCTGGATGCATGGATTGCAGAACAAATGATAGCACTTTGCAATTAGAACCTGCCAACCACCAAAACCAAAAATCACATCATTACAAATACTACTTGGAAAAACAAAGAACGTTGGGACAATAGGAAGACCGCACGATAAAGCAAATTCCAGAAAAAGCTTCACAAAAATACTCAAAATTTGATATTCACAGACCTCCTTTGGCCGATCAAAACACACGCCACATTTGAGAATAGCTTTGCACTCCTTAATCTCATCTTGAAGTCTCTGGATTTCAGCCTCCTCACTTTCGGCAGTCATGTCAGTGATAGTTTGGTTCAGCGTTGCTATCTCTTCCTGGATTTTCTTTCTGGCAGATCTAATATATAATGTTTCAGTCAGTTTTCAACATAACATCCAAAGAAAGATGCAACCAGTGATGCAGAACCTAAGTGTCTCATGGTCTACACAATCAATTTCAGCATGGATGCAAGATTCTAAAATTTGAACATATGGAATGTGGCCCTAATGCATTACCAAAGCCAGCTAGTTGCATTTATAAAGCAGTCCAAAAGTCTTCCTCAGAAAACAGCTACAAAAAGCACTCTGCTTGCGCAACTTACTAATGAACAAATGGCTCCCTCAGAAGTTCTCTCTACCCAAAGTTCTAGATGCATTTCCCAAACAACTCGGATTAACTACATCTTGAAAACAAAACATAATAAAGAGTTCCCTATATTTTCCAGTGTGCTCAAAAAAAGATATACATATTGTCATTACAAAAAACAAAAGGAGGTTGGGTAACCAAAGAAAAACAAAACAAAGGGGAGTACTATCTAAGCCCAGCAAAAAGTTAGACCAAAACTGACCTCTCACTCTCCAAGTCAACAAGGAGTTCAGCTTTCTTTCTCTCAATCTGTTCGTTTTCCTTTTCAGATGAAGCAACAGCAGATTTTAGCCACTTCACTTCCTTCTCAGCATCCACCAACTCCCTTTTCGAAGTTTCTAAGTCTGCTGCAAGCTGTCTATCTTCTTCTGTGTACCTTGAAGCCTCTTCAAAGCAACCTTTCATCTGCAAAACTCTATCTGTAAAACGACAAATCTTTGACTGATATAAACAACCAATAAAATATCTCACCTGCTCTTCCCATTCAGAGATTTTCTGTTTTAAAGACTCCAGTGTCGTATTAACTCGTTGTAGTTGCTTTGCTAGCACCTGCTTTTCAGACAATAATGTACCATGTGCCTGCTTTGCCTTTACACTCTCTGATACTAGCTGCAAATGAACAACCCAAAAAAAAATGAGCCACTTAGATTGGCTAAGAAGGTCTATGTGATAGAACACAGAAGTAACTGTAAAGCAGACCTTGATATTGTAATCATCTCTTTCAGCCACCTGCTGCAGCAAACGCTGATTTTGCATCTGCATATCTTCATATGCTTGACCAATAGTCTAAAAAAGAGAAAAATAACACAGGATCAGAAGAGCTCCCAAAGAATCATGATTAATTAATTGATCTCAAGTGTCTACATACCTCAATTTCAGAAATATATGCTTCAGCTTCTGCTTCTTTGATTTTAATTGCCTCTCGGAGTTTTAAGACATCTCTGCGGGAGGTTACAGCTGTGTCAATTGAGAATGTGTTTCGGTGTAATTAACTATCAAACAACAAACGCAACCCCCCAACACACACACACACAATCTAGAAGATAAATTGTAGGCACATGCAAGTATAAAAACTCTTCTGTTTCAAACACGTGTTTCATTGACTTGTAGTTCCAACTACCATCTTCCATCACACTTTATGCAGCAACTACTTCTAACTGTGGCTGTTTTAACTTACAGCCTAAAATGCATAAATGCCAGAGTCGAAAATAAATTTTTGTTTCGTTTTTTTTAGTGTGTTTTTAGGTGTTTTCTGTATTAGAAATGTAAAAAGGTATGCTGGGATGGGACAGATATTATTATATTATTCTGAAAAAAAGGAAACAAACATGCATGAATGAAACCAACCACAAAACTCAGAGAACAGTACTTCAATAAATTCTTCACAGGAGTGAAATAATAAAAGCAATACATGTGACACAGTACACAGCAGCATCATAGTGAGTCAAGAACCAATGCCATAAAAAACTTCTGAAAAGTTAAAGAGTCTAATATGTAATATTGAGCACAGAACCTGTCACAAGCATCTACTTCAGCCCTTAAATTAGCTTTCTCTGAAGCAGCTGTGGCAAGCCTCTCCTCACAAGCTGCTTCTGCTTCCTTAGCAGTTTTCACCCTCAACTCGAGGTTATGTTCATCTAAAGCATTTTTCAGGATTTCAGCTTGCGCTCGAGCTTTTTGCTCAGACTCTCTGATTTCCTTCAAATCCCTAGCACAGAGGAAATCTATTTGTTACAATGAAGTACAGCACAGTGCTCTAAGATTTTCACAGAAAAAAAAAAAAAAAAATCTTGTCCAGAAAACCCAGAACAGTCCCTGTTTCACATGCAAAGTTTGGAGTCTTATGGCTCTGTTGCATACTAAATCTTAAAACCCGGGGGTGATCAAATCCATCACATATTTTATTATACAACGAAATCATTCAGAAATTTGACCTGGTCTACCAATACTGTGTTATGGAAATGAGAAGTTCCCCTACCGCCCAAAGTAAAGAATCTTTTTCCAAGAAGAAACTATCAATTGCTCTCATCCTAACCGAAAACAAAGATAACTACTTTTGTTACATTTCACGAGAAGATATGAACTGTGACTGCAACTACCAATACAATGAGTTCATGCCGCTGATGAGGTGGCTAATCAAATTTGAAGATTCAAAGAAATTATGAACGTACACATCTGATATATGCATACAAGCTACCAGTCAAATATCAAGATGTATCATCCTACAGTCTCCCACAATAGTCACCTGTTTTCATATAGTTGCTGACTAAGCATATCCACATGTATTTCAAGCTGTTCTGTTTCCTTCTGCGTCTTCTCAACCTGCCAATTTTCAAATCATATCCAATATGATCAAACATTTTCTGAATAATAGCTTCAGCATGGCGTGTGAATAAACAACAAACTGCAGAATCTCATGAAACACTGAAAGGGAACATCTCTACTGAAAAATGAGATTTGTGACCATGGGAAAAAACTTACATATGCCTTTAAAGACTTGATCAACACCATCTGTTGCGCACACTTATCAGCCAAGTCTTTCTCTTCAATAGTCTACAGCAAACATAGAAAAATAAATCAAAAGAAAAATCCAATATCTCCACAATTAGAATAACTATGAGACCGTTGGCTACATGCATTACAACAAATGTTTTCATTAAGATTTCAACATACCACTTTATATTGAGCTCGTGACTACAATTTCCACACACATGTACAAATCATAAAATCATCTTAAATATGTCTCACTCATTTTCTCATTATCAATGTCATTTCTCATTTTATAAAACATTGATTATTGATTCTAATTAGTCTTGTGTGCTCATCCATCTATTTTACTATTCATCTTCGTATATAGTAAATCAACACTCAGATGGTAAAGAAATTGTTGTTTTGCCTAACAGAAGTACTTTACTAGTAAAAATATGTAATCCATACGACATAGTTCTCCATTTGTTAATTGCCTGAACTTTATATGGAGCATTTATTAGTTCCCTCATCTTCTTTGAAAGTCCCAAGTACTCAAGACAGCTACATTTCACACCTCCAACATTCACACTTCCACTATTAGTGCTACAATAAATTATCAAATATTTATATTAATAACTCTATTTATAATGAAATTATTTGATTCAAATGCCTTTTTGCTAGTAACTAAATTGGTTTTAACTAGGGTTCCAGGAGGTACACCACCAATGGACTCTTAGATGCACTCTAAAAATTGCAATGCTTCCCAGCCTTTACATGATTTTTATATAATACAACGCATATATTGGAGTGGAAAGACTTCAAATGATGCAAACCTCAATGTGATTTAGAAAGGCCTCCTTACAGAAAAATCAGATTTAACAAAAATCCAAATGAGAACAGAGATCCTTCAGAATAAGGAATTGTCTGAGGAAGAGCCTGTGCCCTAATGCCTAACTTAACAAGTAGGATCACTGGAGCCCAGAATGTACATGAACTAAACCAGAAAACAAGAAGCAGCCTCTAGATTAAAACTCTTAATTAAAAACTAGAATACAACTAAAAGAGGGTCATAAGACTTCAGAGAGAACCTTAGATGCAAGTATGAAGAAATTTCAACTTAAGTATCCATTAATTGATAATAGCGGCAACATCACCCCATATTACAAAGTCCAACCACCCTACTGTCTTAGTAAGCAAACATAACTAATTGAGTTGGTAGCAGGTAGCTCTTTCACCTCAGTTTTTACAACCACCCAAAATCGCAGTATCAGGAATACACGAGCCTAAGAGGGTGCAGAATATATATGACACATGCTATAAAATGTTTCAGTTCTTTTAATGAAGCGGATTGCAACTAATCTCAACATCTTTTGGACAATAAAGAACAAAACAACACTCAGGATGGATGATTACTCATTCTCACTTAAAATGGCAAATAAAAAAATGACAACAGATAACAATCAAACCTTGCTGTCAACTAAGGCCTTGAGTGATTGAACTTCTTCATGTAAGGAACTGGACTCTTCAGCTGTCTCCTTCCACCGATTTAGCTGAGCTTCCATCATTCCCATCTCCTTTGACAAAGCAGAAGCCATGATCTGAAATTCTGCTTTGACATCTTTCCTACCTGAGAAGCAAAAAACCATAATAAGCAAGTTGTGACATGAACCCACAGGTAAAACCAAACTTGTGTCAAATAAAACTTTATCCAACCAGAATCCTGTAAAGCTTCTTCCAAATTTATTTCAAGCTCATTTTTCTCAAGAACTGACTTTTGAAGCTGAATCTCTAGCTCGTCAATTTTTGTTTCTGAATTTTCAACCACCTTTCTCAAAGCTTCAGCAGACTCTATTTTCATTGTAAGTTCCTTCTCCTTCCTTGCAATGAAAGACCTCTCCGCCTGCATAATTAATTATAGGGCAGCTAAAAAAACGTTTCACGGAAAAATTGGAAAACTAAATTAGAAGAAGATCATACTGGTTAGGAACCAAACCTGTACAGAATCTGCCATGAGTCTGTACCTCTCTACCTCACCATTCCAGTGCTGGAGCTGATCATTCAATAAAGTGTAAGGTCTAGAAGAATACACATATTTATCTTCCTTCAGTTCATTCTGCAAAGAGAGGCCCAAAAAAATGACATATCTAAGTAGAGTTGTAAAACAATTTCGAAAAAAGTTCTCTGTTGTATGCACCATAGAATTCTGGAACAAGAACCTCGAGGTCTTGCAACTGCTTCAACAGGATGAAATTGTCTTCCTGCATTTCTTGAACCTCAGCTTGACGGTCTTCTGCCAGTACCTATGCCATGATATATTTAACACATTTCACATCTAAAATACATATGTGCCATACACACGCATGTGCGGGTGTGTGGGTGTGTGGGTGTGTGTGTGTTTGTGTGTGTGTGTGAGAGAGAGAGAGAGAGTAGAAAACCTTTGTCTCCTCAAGAGAATCCTTTAGGATTCGTAAGCGTTTAGTCTTTTCACCAGGTTTTTCCGGAGAAACATCCCCATTCGCCACAATTGAGACTGGGGCAGGTTTAATGGATGGACCATCTTTTTGCATCTTCAAATTGACAAGTTTTCTTCTACAATCTTCAAGTTCCGCCATTCTTTCTTCCAGGTCACCTGAAACGACAATCAAAATTACAGAAATCCCATACATAAAAGCAAGCATTCTGGTGCACAAAGAGGTAAGTGCATGCAAACAAGGCAGATAACCGCACATTCAATATAGAGACAGTGCACAAGCTTGTATTCCAATACCAACCACGCTCATATTTCAAATCCCTACAAGTTCACAAAGTGTAAACAGCAAAATGCACCAAAGAGTCATCCAACACAGATGAACTATAAGTATACAAACTATAATCGGAACTGACTGAAATGCAGCAATGCCTTCCAATCAATCTACATCTATAATTGTATAAACATCGTCTCCTAAATGTATACAGATTCCTTTTGACATGCCAATGAATGTAAAAAACAATTAATCTAAGAGTGCATCAAAGGAAAATCTCCACCCACCAAGAAGTTGCTTTATCTCTGATTGATCTGCTGTGTTATTCTGGACACAAGTCTCAATCTCATCAGAATATTTTTTGTGCTTCATCTGAATAATACCCATTGCCTTCTGCAAATTTTCAACCTCCACTCTCATCATATCATTAATCTTCCCCAATATGACTACAGGATCTGCTCATCACACATCAAAAAATCAGAAATTGGTTAAAAGAAGGGGAAAAAAAATAACAGCAATGGTTAAGTCTTTATACCACATACATACACACAAACACACGAACATATATCTGTACATATATCTAACGTTATATAAAAAGACAACTCTTTGAGAGTCACGTGACATTGCCACCTAATTAGCTGTGTCAATCTCATTAGTGAGATTAATTAAATACATTTTTTATCATAGTAAGTGATGTATTAGGTTGGTATATATCTTTTTCCATTTAAGAAATCTTTCCCCATTAGAATTCAACCACAAAACCGTTATGTTTTTCAATTTTACAAAACCATTGAAGATGTCCAAGGACTTCACACTAAATCAAATCAACCTCCATCTCTATTACTCACTAATCTTTGGCGAGGTAAAATAGTAGAGGACTACATGGAAGTTTCACACTGCTATTTGAAGTACAATAAAATTTAAACATTTATTGTAATTGTTATTATACAATTTTTTCTTCTTTTTTCTTTTACAAAAACATGGCTATAGGGAATCATCCGATGTTTCTGCATGTGTTTTTTTATAGAATAAGGCCACTTTTTTCCCCAATATAATTTATGCGTTTCAATACTCTACCTTAAACATATTCATATTGAGAGCAGTGGACAGTGAGTGAATATTTCTTTTCTTCAGGTTTAAATCTTCTTTCATTTCAATTTTTTTTTTATTTAATGAAATTACAAAGAAATATAAAGAGGATGATAGAAGTGAATGACCGCAGCAACAATTTTAATTGGGACTTGGGAGTGTCTCTACCTAAGATGAATCTGCATCATTGAGAACAAACTTTATGGCATAAGGAGATTAGATGAGCTGTGATTAATTTGCATGAAACGTCTGCGTTTTTGGTAAATAGAGATTTTGGAGGTTGCCATCGTTTCCAAAGGATTATTAATTACAGCATCCTTCCAAAAGACATGAAACATATTATTTTTTTGGTAAAATTTTTTTGTAGAATAAAATAAATATTTACTATATATTTATAAGTTTTCTTCTTTTTTTTTCTTCGACTGGTATTAATAATTTTCTTATTACTATCTCCATCCAAGAAAAGTAGTCAACTTCGTTGAACTAAAACAGTACAATAAAGTGACTATTTTTATGGGACGGAGGGGATACAGCATATTATAACGAGCCAAGAAAAGTTTTGAGGAAAAAATTTCACAATAAAAAAATCATAATGAGTAAAACAATAATACTGGGCAAATGCCAAACTAGCCAACTCTAGTTTATATAGTATAACAATGGATCATCACAGAATCATGATAAAGGTTCCCACTGACCTTCTGCCAATGGCTTCCCATGGAAAGCATGGCCAATGTTCTCCATCTTAGCTCTCTGAGCTTCAATAGCATCTTCCAAGGACTTCATCAACTCCCTTGCAAAAGAACGACGTTGTGAAAGACGTTCTTTAACAGATCCAATATATCCATCGCTACCCGTAACTCCGACAGAATTAGACTGCAGAAGCCGGGAAAGAAAAATATCCTCGGCGGAACTAGATGGAACTGAGCCTAATGAAATTCAGAGGATGCAATATACAGAACATAAGAGAATTCCCAAACAAAATAAAAAAAAATGTAATGGACATCATAAAATTTGTTTTATGCTGTACGTCGTAGTCCAAAAAGTAACCTCTTAGTTGATCTATATGATCCAAACTCTGCAGAGCAATTTCACTGGCTCCAGCTCGCACTCCAAGAAGGACTAGCTCATCTTCTAACTATTCAAGAAAAAATAAAAATCAATGATGCTTATCAAGGCTGAGGGAGACTGGAGAGACAGATCACCTAGTACTTATGTGAAAGAGCTACCTGATTCCATAGTCGATTTACTGTAGTCAATACAGAACCATAAGAAGCTTGCTTGTCTTTCAATTCTTTTATTTTGGCTTCAAGGTCAAGCAACTGCTGCTTCTGTAAATCTAACTGCTGAACTAGTTTCTGATTCTGGTACTGAAGAAGTGCAGCATCAACCTGCCAAACAACATATCCTTAAATTGTCAATGGCCCTCTTTTGTACCCACACTCAGGTCACAAATGTAAATAACCACAATAAGAGACAGCAACATAACATGTTCTCATCATTTGAAAAGGAGTTCACGAGCACTGAAGTCTACTCCCAAGAAGATTTCAAAAATAAGGTCAATCCTTCATGTCTTTCATATCTAACCATAGATCTTAGAGGTGCTACTGCATTGAGTCTTTAAAGAGTTATGTAGTATCCAATGACAAGTTGCAATTAAGGCATAAGGAAAAATAGTACGCAGACCTACAGCAAGTGTCCTCTTGAATTACTAGTCTCACACTCATAAAAACACCTAACAAAAAAGTGTTCTTCAGCACTAGACCACCTCTAACAAACAACCCCCAAAAATGCTCATATAGAACAAGCAATCATATGATCTAAAAGGAACTTGCACAATTAAGCCAATGCAAGAATCCAGACATGTATACTATTACCTAAAACTTTCGGCTCCAATTTTATGTAACCAAATCATACCCCAATCCTTAAAATAAAATATGTAAGTGATCCCGCAAAGAATTTCATGTCCTTGAAATAAAACCAGATGCTAGTCCACAAGTACACAATTTTCAGATTTTCATACGGGTACTCCTTAGGTGATGATATCTGATCACCTAAAACTGCAACACAGAAAATAATGGGACATAACAAACTCCAGAGAATTTATATGTAGCCGAAACTAAATCACCTCTTCATCATTCCTCCGAAACTATCCCCTGATTCAACCCGAAAACCTAATATGTCACTCTTTCATAAACACAAAGGCATAACTAAAGCTTTCCACCTTCCCATCCAGGGCTCAATAGAACAGTCACAAACCCGAATCAAACTGAATTTTTTAAAAAATTTCCCCATTCTAAACAGAACAATCAAACCCTTGTCAGTACAGTTGTACAAAGCTCCCCAGTGCTCATACACGACCGTCCCCACAAAAATCTAATCAAAACACATAAAGCAAAACAATTTCTCCACATCTTTTCCAATGAAAAAGAAAAGCACAGAATGAACAAACAGAAAGAATTTTGAAAGTGCTAACCGGTTTTGGGCTATTGGGAGACGTAGAATCATGGTGAGGACGCTTCTTCGGAGGTTCTTCTGCGTCATTGCTCGCCATAGTTTGATAGAATTACAAGAAAATTGAATCCAAAAGCTATTCAATTCGTTGTGAGAATCATTGAGTGTATCAGTGTGCTTTTAGGCTCGGTTAAGAAAAAGAAGAAGAAGAAGAAGCAAGCTTCTCTGTAAAAGGGAAACTCGGAAGAGGGGAAAATTGAAAAATCAACAATATATGTATTGTTGAGTTCAGGTCTCGGAGGAAGGAGAAACTGAATTACAAATTAACCCATCGGTATTATGCTTTCCATCAATTGAGTCCTTGTTTTATTGGGTATTTTCCTTAAAAAATTTAATTAAAACAAAGGTGGACAAATTTAAATTTTTCAGAATATTTGTGGACAGGAATATATCCCACGGATTTCCGAAATCCGAGTTATAATTAAAATTGAGAACTCGGATTTTCGAAATTTGAATCTACATTTAATAATAAAATAATAATTAAATAAATTTTGTTGAATAATATTTTTAAAAAAATCTTACATAAACAGTGTCGTTCGGATTTGCGTAATCCGAGTCCCATTAAAAAATAATAAATTGAGGCGCAAAATATTTGAACTGAAATAAGGATTAAATAAACAGTAATACTCGGATTTCCGAAATCCGAGTTCTCAAAAAGAAAAAATAAAATAAAATAAAATCAAGGCGCGAAATTTTTGAAATCAAAGAACTGGAATACCGTAATCCGGTTACATGTATTAGTGTTATATATTATTTGTATGTACTAGTATTATGTAGTACATTAATATTATTACTCATTATTATGTAGTACATTAATACTAATACCTATCATTATTGGTACTAGTGTTACTTATTCTTATTAAATCTATTAGTTATTAGATATTATCATAAATTCAGTATAATTTATACGTATTAGTGTTGTGTATTATTTATACGTACTAGTATTATGTAACACATTAATACTATTACTCATTATACATTACTGGTACTAGTGTTACTTATTACCGTTACATCTATTAGTTATTAGATATTATCATAAATTCAGTATAATTTATCTGTATTAGTGTTGTGTATTATTTATACGTACTAGTATTATGTAACACATTAATACTATTACCTATTATACATTACTCGTACTAGTGTTACTTATTACCGTTACGTCTATTAGTTATTAGATATTATCATTAATTTAGTATAATTTATCTGTATTAGTGTTATGTACTATTTGTACGTATTAGTATTATGTAATACATTAATACTATTATCCATTATACATTACTGGTACTAGTGTTACTTATTACTGTTACATCTATTCTTTATTAGATATTATCATTAATTTAGTATAATTTATCTGTATTAGTGTTATGTACTATTTGTATGTATTAGTATTATGTAGTACATTAATACTAATACTCATTATACATAAGTGGTATTACTGTTATTTATTATTATTAAATCTGTTAGTTATTAAATATTATCATTAATTCAGTTATAATCTATATGTACTACTGTTATGTACCTTTTAAGCAAATAATCGCATTTTCAGAATCTGAGTTAAGTAAAAAATTAGATTTTCAAAATAAGGCCATAGGGTTTAGGGTTTAACTTCGGATTTCCCAAATCCGAGTGTTACTTGTACTCGGATTACCAAACTCCGAGTGTAACCTATAAACGGATTACCAAAATCCGAGTGCAACATATACTCGGATTACCAAAATCCGAGTGTAACATATACTCGGATTTAAGGTTTAGGGTTTAGGTTCGGATTTCTAGAATCCGAGTTTATCAGGGAAACATGGAAGATTCGGATTTCGAAAATCCGATTCGTGTTCAAAAAATTACCAACACTTGTACAAAAAAAAATTTTCCTCAAAAATTAATATTTTAATCATAAAGTCGGATTTCAGAAATCCGAATTATGATTAATTATGACAGATGAAAATTTTACTTAGTTTTAGTTTTAATTAAAATGAATTCGGATTTTCAAAATCCGTTTTCTATTAAATTCGGATTTCCGAAATCCGAGTTTACCCCAGATTCAGATTTTTGAAATCCGGAGGATATAGATTTGTCCACAAAAATTTCAAAAAAATTAATTTGGTCTACCTTTTTTTAAAGAAAATTGTTTAGGTCAAAAACTCTTGTTTTATTACATGGAGCATAACATGGCAATAATGAATTATGGATTCTTATTACACCATCTATTTTTAAGTTTTTTGTCTGTTTGTTTTGGCGGTCAATAAATTTTTCAGTTACTTGATTTTTTTTTTCCCAAAAACATATACTCTGAATGTCCAAAAATGGTTATCCAAATTGAGAATTTTGACTTTCAATGTATGTTATATGTAAACGAAATTTCAAAATGTATATTTCAGGAAAGAAAAAGTACATTTTACTAGTGGAGGTGATCAATTACCACTTTTTTATTAAAAAAAAAAAATCCATCCCAGTAGACTTACTTAAACGTGGATAAAACACCCTTTACGACCTTTGGTGGGAATCGAACCATGGTATATCACCAAGAAAGACAGCGACGTAACCACTGTCATTCAATTCCTGTGATCAATTACCACTTAATTGTAACTAGCAAAATAATTTTTTCCAAAACCGTACTTTAAATCGTTCTCAATTTCATAAAATCAGAACCTTTTTGCTCTTTTCAACTAGTTTGACTAATATGAATTTTAAAATAGTCAGATAACTATGGAGAGAGTAACTCGAGCCAAACACTCCTTATCAACGCTCCCAATATACATGATGGTGGTCTTTCGGTTACCGGTGTCCATCACTATGAAAATTGATGCGACAATCTCCAGAGTCATTTGGAAAGGGGACAAAGAGGGCAAAGATTTTACTGGAAATCGTGGACGCACATGTGCAAATCAAAATTTCAAGGAGGCCTCGGTCTACGAAGCGCTAAAGAGTTGAATCAAGCTATGGTAGCGAAGTTGGCCTGGATATTCTATTCTAATCCTACATCTTTGTTTGCCAGGATTCTCTCAGCCAAGTATCTCAAAGGGAAAGACTTTCTCAAACATGAGTCTGGTAAGAAATCACCTTGGGGTTGAAAGGGAATATTGTAGGGAAAAGAATTACTAGTAAAAGGTCTGAAATGGAAAGTTGGCAATGAAGAATCGATTGGAATTGCAGAAGATTGGATTCAGGACTCATCAAACCCACTTAGGGATCTGCCTGTATGCCAAGGGCTCTTAAACAACACAGTGAAGGACCTAATCAATGACAATTAACAGTGGAACTTTTCGTTGGTTAATGTGCTTTTTCCTCGGGAAGTCATTAAGAAAGTCCTAGCTACTTACATTACACTACAGCCAACCGAGGATATCATAATATGGGATAGAGACCAATGAAGAGAAAACACAGTTTAGAGTGGCTATTACGAATAGGGCTGTCAGTTAATCGAGTCAACTCGACGACCCGCCCGAACGAACATGTTTCGGGTCAAACGATTTGGCTAATCGGACTAATTCGGGGCTGTGCGGGTTCACCCGATTAACCATAAATATATTTCGGTGCGGGTACGGACAGGCGAGACATCACTTCGAGCCCCGCCCGAAAACCCGAAATAATAATATTCTTTTTATATATATCTTTTTAAATATTTATATACATATATATAGGGTTACTTCAGAGTTCATATAGAGGTGACTTTGTTTTTTTCTCTGAAGCCGCCGCCCTCCTTTTCTACCATCCCCCAACCAACAACAACACTTTGAGATTTGCTTTTCAGCCACGATTTAAGAGTGGCGGCGACTTCCTCTTCAGCCACGATCTAAGCGACGATTTCCTATTATTCTTTTCCTTCATCTTATATCAATCAAAATCGCCCAGATCTGACAGATTTTGGCATCAACTTCAAGCTTTTACTATAGCAATGGGTCACGATTTCAAGCTACTATAGCAAAGGGTCACGATTTCAAGCGACTATAGCAACGCCCAGATCCGACCTATTCCAGCATCTTTATTTGATTTTTTTTTCATATTTTTTGTTCCTTTTGAAAGGATTTTATAGGAATAAGAAGGATTTATTGTATTTGTGCCGTTGTTTTCTTGAATGGTATTTGAACTCTGAATGCCAATTGTATTGAAGTTTTACTGATTTCAAGTAAAGGGATGAATGGTTTACATTTTCCAGATTCTGTGGAATTTTTTATTGTATTCTGTTTTGTTATGTATTTTTAGTAAAATTAATTGTTGACTTGTTTTATTGATTATTTAATTCGGTTGACTCGGGCATCGAACCGACAAACCCGATCACTTATTCGGTCGGTTCGGTTTGGTATAATTGATTTTTCGATTCTGTTTCAGTCAGGTCTTCTGTGAGAAAAAAAATCCGATTAAATCGAATTGAATTCACCTGAACCGCACCGAACCGACCAAATTAGCAGCTCTAATTACAAATTACAAACATTCGAGATGCAACTCTCCCTGAAGTAGGGACATCCAGAACCACTCATTTATCTGAACAAGCTTGGAAAATTTTCTGGGACATCAAGATTCCAAGCAAAGTGCAATGGTTGATCTGGCGAGCATCAAACAATGCATTACCAACGAATACGGCCCTTCAAAAAAGAGGAATGCCTGTGGAAACAAGCTGTCGTAGATGTCTGCAAACCGAACAAACAGTCACGAATCTATTCCTCGGATGCCACACAACACAGATCATTTAGAAAACCTCCACACTAGGTTTTGTCTTTGATCAAGTGCAAGAATTAAACTTTTGTGACTGGTTGGATGACTGGCTGATTTCAGCGCCGGAGAAATCACTTCTACGAAGAAGCTTCTTCATCCTCTGGGGAATTTGGCTTGCGAGGAAAAACATGGTTTGGAATGGTACAAGTGAGCATCCTTTTCATACACTGGATCAGGCGACAAGGGAGGAGGAGAGTACAGCCCATAGCTTATGCTTCCAGGATCCCCAATCTCATGAGGAAAACCTCCCTCCAACTAGAGCAACTCAGGCATAACAAATTTCGCCAGACTTTCATATAAGAGTAGATGCCGTTTTTAATAAAAGTGAATGTCTAGGAGCTGCAGCATGGGAAATAATTGACCATAATGGTAGACTCATTGATTATGACACGCAATGGTTCCACTATGGCTCCCCAACTTTCCCGGAAGCGAAGGCTTGTTTACTAGGGCTGGAAGCGGCATTCAGGAGAAATTTGAGTAATTATCAGCTACAAACAGATACCGCAGTACTGGCTAAGTGTGTAGGACAGAAATTGAAATTCCTCACAAAATAGCTAGCATTGGTAGTGATATTATGTACTTATTTTCTTCAATTCTAGGTAGTAGTATTGTAAAAGTTAGTCGTGAAACTATAGAATGCGCCCATAGACTGGCGAAGGCGACTTTACTGTCGGCCTACCCTATGTAGAATCTCATGTTGTTTTCTCAATCCAACATATAAACTGTTTGTTAAAAAAAAAAATGAGTAGACACCCCAATAATATTCATGTTTCTATTTTATTTTATTTTTTTTCCTTTACCCCTCGTTGTATTGTTCTTGTTAATTAAATGTCATCACTGATTTAGAACAGTGAAAACATGTAGAACAGTGAATTTGATCATGCAATTCAAAACCTAAAATCTTTTGTTTATATATGAATAGAATACGAATCATTGACATGTAATTTTTGTTCCTTGCCTCGCAAAGTACAACAAGACAAAATTAGTTCTCTTTGGTCCTTATTATAAATCATTTTAGTATGTCTTAAATTTTACTATGTCTTTTCGATTGAGAAAAAATATTAAAACTGTAATTTCATATTTATTGTATTTTTTTAATTATTAGAAAATATTTCAAGATTTTTTATTGATTAAAAATTTTCCAAATTAAAATGTCTTATAATAAGCACCGGATAATGCATTATGCTGTCTATAATAAATTCATAAATAGAAATTTTGATAAGTTCAAGTAAGCTTTGATTTCCTTACGAACCTAGCTCGAGCTTGGCTTCTGGACTCGCCTACACCAGAATCCTCGCGTGCTCTTTATTCCTTTAGCCAATTTAGCCTATTTTTATCACCGTCCATAAGCAAAAACATGGTTATCGCTTCACTTCTAGAGAACATATTCATCTGAGGTAAGCTTATCATCTCTCCAACCATTCAATATGTCCATGCACACATTGACTTTCCAATCCTCACTCATCAAAAACGGATCAAGAGTATTGAAATCGAAACTAGATTTACATTCCCATTCATCTGTTGTTGCTGTCCACTTTTTACCCCTCGCCGTCGTCTTCTTCCCTTCCACGGTGTAATCATTCCCAGCGCCGGGAAAAACAGGGGATCCAATGGCTTGGTTGGAGGGATCGGAGCTGGAGTCGACGCTGGAAGACAAATCAGGGGATTCCAATTCAGTGTGCCGCTCGAATTCGCTGGAGGAAAAACATGGGGGTTCAACGGGCGCCGATTGGGATCTGGATTCGATATTGGATTTAGCCCGTCTCATTCTCTTCTTTCCCGCCCGAATAGCCTTATTACTGGTTTCATTAAGCTCTTTCCGAAAAGATAACCGACATTTATTGTAGGGTTGAGTAATATTCCCTCCGTCCCACAAAAATAGTCCAATTTCAAAATGTATAATTTTTTTAATTTAGGCAACTCTAGAAATGTATAACTCATTTTATCCCATGAACTTTCATTTTTACCCCTGACTGAAAATTATATACTTTTTAAGAGGAAAAAAAAAAACAAAAAGAATAAGCAGTACGGCAGTCGGCCTTCTCCATCCACTGCCGTTCCATTACGGTTCATCATCAACGTCATCATTAATCGGCCACTAACATCAACTCCGATCAGGAGATTTTATCTGATAGGCGACTATTTCACTCTTAATTGGCTTTCATCATCAGATAAATTCGGGTGGATTTAAAATGGGTAAAGGCGTTTGGAGAGGAGGAAACAGATGGACTTGTTGGTTGAGCTCATGGCTGATATTGATTGGTAAACGGAGGAGGACATGGCGTTGTTGCCATTTCCTGCGAAGGACAGATCGATGGTTAGGATTAAGGGCTGGGGTTATTTTGAAATACGAGAAGATAGAGGAGGTTTTTGGTGGCATGAATTGGATTTTGGGGGTGTTTGAAGTTCAGCGGCGGCCGCCACCTCTATCATCCATCATGCTCAATTTACAGTGGTTGTGATGAAGATCTACAGAGGCCGTCGGCCATGTATTCTGCGGTGGCGGAGACCAGCCAAAAGGACGATGGAATTAGTAGTGATTGAATGAATCCATTTATAAAAGGGCAGTTAAGTCATTTTATTTGTTTTAATTTTGACTTTTTTTGAAACTGGATTATCTTTTTGGAACAAAATTTTTTAGTAAACTGAACTGTTTTTGTGGGACGAGGAAGTAATAATAGTAATAAATCTTAATAAACCCCTTTGGTTTAGAATATTGGAAGATCTGTCACCTAACTAAACTAAGATTTTGAGTGTTTGTCAATTGGTTTCAGACCTTTGAAATTGGCTAGTGGGTGGAATTCGGCAAGCGGGATCGGATAGTTGATCTCCAACATAAATCTCGTAGAAATTAATTTTGTTGCAAGCTCAAAATCCAGGAATTGCAAAGACTAGAAAACCCACCGATAAGGGTTAAAATTTGGCTTCAACATGATGTTAAAGTGATTACCATTCTCCTAAAATAACACAACTCATATGTACAGCGACATAGCGTTCTTTATTGTAATATAAAAAAAAAAACTATAACTTGTAATGTGTTACGTAAAACTACTGTCGAGATTCAAGAACTTAAGATACTATATATATACAGTGACTTGCAAAAGTTTTTAAAATTCTTATATTCACCAAAAAAAGAAAAGAAACGACAGGTTAAACAAATTTTCTTTCGATACGTATATGGGATCATAAACATAATAGTCTTAGTTAGTCACTCCAGCTCATTTGTTTGTCCATTATATGTGAGGCATTCTCTTTTTCCCTAAACCTTCTTTACACACAAAATCTTTCACACAATTTGCTGTGAAAATTATATGCAAGATGTGTTTGTAAAGGCATGACATGAAAATGTGATTTGACTAACGTTTTATCGGCTCTCAACTGAAAATGGTAATTAACCCTTTTCATGTACAATTGTACACATAATTCTTTTCGTGTAGTCATTTTTTTTTTCCAAAAGCGATGATCATATATGAAGAAAAAATAAGCAAGTACAACTATAGTGTGTTAAGGTACAACAACTTACGGTTAAGATATTACAATCTGTCTTACGCGCTATACCTAACCACAGAAGTAGAGATGGACAATCCCAACACTGTGTTCAATCCTAGACTAAGCTAAATTGACTAAATTGTAGCAACATTTCTAATAACAGAGTAAGAAAGTTCCAAGAGCTCAAGAAATACAAAGAGAATATTAATACATTTTTACAAATAAAATCCAAACATCGCTCAGAAAGGACTAAAACTCCAGATCTAAATCGACAATTCAGATTTACATGGCTAGAAGTCTCAGATCTATATAGATCCTTCATTTGCAAAATCATTTAATCTCATATTTATCTTCAATTTCTTCAGGGAGCTGTGGATCTTGTTCTTTTGGATCAGATCTGTTGAAGAAAACTCACCAAAGTACATCTAAAAAGGAAAAAAACCTCTCCCAAATGGGATGAACCAAAACTTCCATACGGAAAAGCAATACCCTATAAAGAGAAAGCGAAACTTCAAATACGGGAAGAGCAAAAACTAAAACTATAAAGTAAAATAAAAGATTTTAACTCTCCCATCCACTATTAATAGTGGATGAGGGAGGAGGAAAAAATTTTGTAGAGGGGGTCTTTTTTAGAGAGAAGGATGAGCTTCTCTCTCTAGAACACTTATTACTTCAATCCAAGTCAGTGTCCGCCTATGTAATCCGCATTGATATGATATTTGTAACAAAATGTAAACTGTTGTAAAATAAATGGCAAAATATATATTAAATGTGAGCATGCATTAAATAAGGAATACTATTAAGTATAGTACTTTGATTTTGATGTAAACCTACTTATTATATATTTACGAAATTGCCATTAGGTGATGACTATAAATAGGAGGCTTATGTAATGGTAAAATTGCACCAAAAATATACATGAGTAAATTTCCTCCTACTTTGCTTCTTACCCTATTTCTTCTTTTAATCACCTTCTCTCTTTCCCTTTTTAAGCATTATAATTATTTCATAACATTTCGATTATTATAAAGTTATTATATTAAAGTCTCTAGATAGAGAAGTTATATAACTTAAATATAACATCTCCTAAATAAATAATTTACTAGAACCTTTGCTTGGAACATTGTATTGGACATTAGTTTTCAAACACGTTATCAGCACGAACGCTCAACTGTCAGCGAAACGAAGGTAAAATTTCTCTACTTAATCTTAATTTTATATGGATGGATTTTTCCCCATATAATCATTTATGTTTATTGCTATTGTGGGATAGATTTTCCGCCTACATAACTATTTAATTCTAATTTAATTTTGTCGTGGATGGATTTTTTCCCATATAATCATTTATGTTTATTGTTATTGTGGGATGGATTTTCTGCCTACATAACTATTTAATTCTTATTTAATTTTGTTGTGTGGATGGACTTTTTCCCACATAATCGTTTCTGTCTATTGTAATTGTGGGATGGATTATCCGCTTACATAGTTATTAATTTTACTTTGGATGGATTTTCACCCCGTATAGTTATTCTTACTGTGGATCGGTTTTTACCCTACACAATTATTTATTTTTATTGCTAACGTGGAAAGGTTTTCATCTCACGAAATTATTTATTGCTACTATGGTTGGAATTTTACCCCACGTAAGTATTCATTTTTATTCTTGTAAGGAAGTTTATTTTAATCATAAATTTATCATATGAAAAATTAGACTACTTGCATATTTATATTCTATAGTTTAACTCACGAAATGATTTTATTTGTTTTTCTATATTTTCAAACTGCTTAATTAATTTATTTTTCAAAAGTAATTTTTCACAACGGTTATATACGTATAGTATACGTACATATATAACGACTATATTCAACAAAAATAACGGACACACAACGACTAAATTCTAAATTTTTTTTCTATAAATACCTCATTTCTAAATCTCATTTACACACCTTCACAATATTCTCCTTTTTTCTTTTCTTAATTTCTTAAAGAAAAATACATGTCTTTCCTTTTTCTCTTTTGCATATTATTAGTTTGTATACATACTCTTTTTGTATTTAATTTAGAAGGCATAGATTTTACTTTCCATTTGGGGGTACTTATAATATGTATTTTACCCCTGTTGTTAAGTGCTATATTTATTGAAAATTGTTAGTTTTATTTATTGATTTATGAAATAAAATGTTAATTATGTTCTCTTTTGTTTACTAGAGAACTATGTCTTCGAACTTGTCAAAGCTTGAATTCAATGCTCTCAGTTACACTGGAGACAACTACATGTCCTGGAAACTTGACTTGTCAATGCATCTTGAATCATTGGGTCTTCTGAAAACGATAACAGAAGATGATGCCATTGCCCAGGAAAAGGCAAGGGCATTGATCTTTATTCGAAAACATCTTGATGATTTTCTTAAAAGTGAATGTCTATCAGTCAAAGATCCCAAAACTTTATGGAAGGATCTTGAAGAAAGATTTGATCACCAACTTGAGGTGATGCTTCCAACCGCCAAAGAAGAATGGAATGCATTACGCTTCCAGGACTTCAAAAAGATTACTGACTATCATTCGGCACTGTTCCGAATAGTCTCTCGGTTGAGATACTGTGGAGAAACAGTCACTACTGCAGAAATGATTAAGAAAACATTATCCACATTTCATGCTTCTAATATTGTTCTGCAGCACCAATACAGATTAATGAATGTTAAAAGGTATCATGAACTAATTTCTAAACTTATGGTTGCTGAAAAGAATAATGAAATATTGATGAAAAACCATCAATCTCGTCCTACGGGGTCAATAGCATTTCCCGAAACAAATGCTGTTGGGACAAGTAATTTTGAAAAATACAATAACCGTGGACGAGGTGAAAATCGCGGTCGCGGTCGTGGTCGTGGCCGTGGCCGTGGAAATGGAAAAAACTATAATTTTGGTTGTAATCATGGTTACGTCCCACAAGAAACACAGGCCTAGTTCCAAAAAAGGAAAGTGAATAAAGGAAATATTCCTGGTAAGCAGAAGAAGGCTGAGACCAAATGTTTCCGATGTGGTAGTACAGGACATTGGGCACGTGTTTGCCGAACACCACCACATCTTTGCCAACTCTACAAGGAATCGAAGGGAAAAGAGAAGGAAGCAAACCTTATTGAACAAGTGGATAATGCTACAAACTTGAGTGCATTGGATTTCAGTGAAGATTTTGCTGATAATTAAGGGGAAATAGTTGCCCCACCAGTTGAAGTAAAAATTATGTATGGGTCTTAATGTTGTAATAATAATGGATTGGTGTATGATCCTTGTGTCTAAGTGTATGGTATCAATGTATAACTGTATGTCTGAATGAGTAGTCTTGATGTTGTAATAATAATGATTATTGTATGGTCTTATAATGTTATGAATCAATGTATGACATTATGTTCTTTTTTTTTGAGACTATGAACTTGGTAATTGTGATAATATTTATGTTTTGATTTGTGACTTTTAATTATAATGTTCTCTACTTGATAATAACTGATTGATTGTTTTTTTTGTTTGAAGTTTTGACATGGAAATTCGACAAAAAAGGCATGCTGGAGATTTTTGTATTGCAGACAGTGGCACTACACATACTATTCTGAAAAACAGAGAATATTTTTCAGAGTTAAAGCCAACAAAGGCGATTGTGTATACAATATCAGGTCCAACAGATTTGATTGAAGGGATTGGTAAAGACAATGTCACATTGCCAAAAGGAACACAAACTGTGATTAATGAAGCCCTGTTTTCACCAAATTCAACAAGAAATTTTTTGAGTTTTGATGATATATATCGAAATGGGTATGACACCCAATCTATGATTGTTGACAATATGAAATATTTGAATATCATTATTTATGAATCGAGAAAGGCAAGAATATTGGAGAGATTGCCACTTTCTAATGGTTTGCATTATACATATATAAATGTGATTGAATCACATATGGCAATGAAAGAAAAATTCTTCGATCATTCTGTAATGAATTTGTGGCATGAAAGATTAGGCCATCCGGGATCTATAATGATGCGAAGAATTATTGAGAATACACATGGTCATCCCTTAAAGGGACAAATGATCCCCTAGAGTAATGAAATTCCATGTAAAGCTTGTTCTCTTGGAAAATTGACTATGAGACCATCACCATTAAAGATTCAAAATGAATCACCTACGTTTCTTGAAAGAATCCAAGGTGATATATGTGGACCGATACATCCACCATGTGGACCATTCAGATATTTTATGGTATTAATAGATGCATCTAGTAGGTGGTCACATGTGTGTTTACAGTCAACCCGAAATGTTGCATTTGCAAAATTTCTTGCGCAAATTATAAAATTACGAGCTCAATTTCCTGATTATGCAATCAAAAGGGTTAGACTTGACAACGCTGGTGAATTTACGTCTCAAGCATTTAATGATTATTGTATGTCTACTGGAATTACTGTTGAGCACCCTGTTGCTCACGTAAATACACAAAATGGTTTAGCAAAATCATTAATTAAACGACAACAGCTCATTGCTAGACCATTAATCATGAGAACAAAACTGCCAGTTTCTGTTTGGGGCATGCGATATTACATGCTGCTTCTTTAATTCGCATAAGACCAAGTGCAGATCATAAATACTCTCCCCTGTAATTGGCTTTGAGATATGAACCAAATATTTCGCACCTCAGAGTTTTTGGTTGTGCAGTATATGTACCCATTTCACCTCCACAACGTACAAAAATAGGTCGGAGATTGGAGATATATGTTGGTTTTGAATCAGCTAGTATCATCAGATATCTTGAGCCCTTAACAGGCAACGTTTTTACTGCACGTTTTGCCGATTGCCATTTTAATGAAATTATTTTCCCAATATTAGGGGGAAAAAAGAAAGAATTGGCAAGGGATATTACATGGAATCAACCAACTCTTTTGCATCTTGATCCTCACACAAAACAATGCGAGACAGAAGTTCAAAAGATTGTACATTTGCAATCAATTGCCCGATTCATTTACTGACACAAAAAGAGTGACTAAATCATATATACCAGTAACTAATGCTCCCACTCGTATTGAGATTCCGAAAGAAAAAATCGATAATAAAGTCACTAGCGAGTCTAAACCACGGCTGAAGTGTGGTAGACCAATGGGATCAAAGGATAAAAATCCTCGAAAAAGGAAGGAAACTGTGAATGACGTTGATCCTGAGAAAATATCTCTTGGGATAATGAAAAATGAAGAAAGTTCCCAAGAAGAGGACACAAAAAGGACAAATGAAGAAATCTCAATCAACTATAACAGTACAAATATACTATTAAATAGAGATGAAGTTGAATGTGACAATGAGATTTTTTGTTTCACAGTTGCAAATGAAATTATGAATGGAAATAATGATCCTGAACCAAAATCAGTTATTGAGAGTCAAAATAGACAAGATTGGATAAAATGGAAAGACGCTATGCAAGCTGAATTAGATTCACTTAACAAGTGAAATGTTTTCGGGCCAATTGTTCTTACTCCAACGGCTGTAAAGCCGGTAGGATATAAGTGGGGTTTTATACGAAAACGGAATGAGAAAAAACGAGATTATAAGGTACAAGGCTAGATTGGTAGCACAAGGTTTTTCTCAAAGACCTGGAATAGATTATGACGAGACATATTCTCCCGTTATGGATGCAATTACTTTCAGGTTTTTAATCAGCCTTATAGTTTCTAAAAAATTAGAAATGCGTCTTATAGATGTTGTTACTGCTTATTTGTATGGATCACTTGATAGTGATATTTATATGAAAATCCCCGAGGGATTTCAAATGCCAAAAACTTTAAGTATAAAACCCAAAGAGATGTATTCTATCAAACTCCAATGATCATTATATGGGTTAAAGCAGTCTGGACGTATGTGGTATAATCGATTAAGCAATTATTTAATAAACAAGGGATATACAAATAATGTCCTACGCCCATGCGTTTTTATCAAGAAAACAACATCCGGATTTGCCATTATAGCTGTCTATGTGGATGATTTAAATATCATTGGAACATTACAGGAAATTAATAAAGTGGTTGCATACCTAAAGGGGGAATTTGAGATGAAAGACCTTGGTAAAACTAAGTATTGTCTTGGTTTACAAATTGAGCATATGCACAATGAAATATTTGTACATCAGTCAAATTACACAGAAAAGATCTTAAAACGTTTTAATATGAATAAAGCAAACCCTTTAAGTACTCCTATGATCGTCAGAACACTCAAAACTGAAAAGGATCCATTTCGCCTCCCCCCCGACAAGGATGAAGAGATTCTTGGTGCCGAAGTACCATACTTCAGTGCAATTGGAGCTCTTATGTATCTTTCTAACTGTACTAGACCTGACATTTCTTTTGCAGTTAATTTATTAGCAAGACACAGCTCATCACCAACAAGAAGGCATTGGAACGGGATCAAGCACATATTTCGTTATCTTCGGGAAAGTATTGATTTAGGCTTATTTTATCCTAATGACTCGAAACAAGATTTGGTTGGTTATGCAGATGCAGGTTATTTATCTGATCCTCACAATGGAAAATCTCAGACTGGATATGTGTTTACATATGGAGGAACTGCAATTTCTTTGCGTTCACAGAAGCAAACATTGGTTTCTACTTCTTCAAATCACGCAGAAATAATTGCATTGCACGAAACTAGTAGAGAATATGTTTTGCTTATGTCGATGATACAACACATCAAAACGTCGTGTGGTCTACCAGTCGAGAAAGGTCCAACTATCTTATATGAGGATAATTCTGCATGTCTTCAACAGTTAAAAGAAGGTTATGTCAAGAATGACCGGACGAAACATATACCTCCGAAATTCTTCGCATATACTCAAGAGCTCATCAAGAAAAATGACATAGATGTTCAATATATCATGTCAAATAATAATTCAGCAGATCTCTTCACGAAGGCGCTTCCTACTACAACATTTAGAAAGCATGTTCATAACATCGGTATGCGACGCCTACACAACATGTGAACAATTATCGATGTTATTATCAGGGGGAGAAAATTACACACTGTACTCTTTTTTCCTTAGCCAAAATTTTTTTTTCCACTGGGTTTTTCTTTGGCAAGGTTTTTAACGAGGCAGTATTTAAACGTAAACAATAAAAATTTTGCCATCCAAGGGGGAGTGTTGTAAAATGAATGAGAAAATATATATTAAATGTGAGCATGCATTAAGCAAGGAATGCTATTAAGTATAGTACTTTGATTTTGATGTAAACCTACTTATTATATATTTACGAAATTACCATTAGGTGATGACTATAAATAGGAGGCTTATGTAATGGTAAAATTGCACCAAAAATATACATGAGTAAATTTCTTCCTACTTTGCTTCTTACCCTATTTCTTCTTTTAATCACCTTCTCTCTCTCCCTTTAAACATTATAATTATTTCATAACATTTTGATTATTATAAAGTTATTATATTAAAGTCTCTAGTAGAGAAGTTATATAAATTAAATATAACATCTCCTAAATAAATAATTTACTAGAACCTTTGCTTGGAACATTGTATTGGACATTAGTTTTTGAACATAAACTTTTTTTTTTCTTTTAGAAGAATTCATCCAAATAAAAAACCAGATGGATAAATAATCTGACGTTCGAATTACTAGGCAACTCAGTTTTTCATATTGGTTTTTCCCTTCTAGGCTTCTACCTTTCCATGTCTGCAGGTGCTGCAAATGGCTTCCTTACAGGAAGCAGTCTCATGGGCTGACCGGCAACAATGTTGTTGTTGTTACTACTCTTTTGAGCCTCAACATCAACTTCTTCGTCATCGTCGTCCTCCCGAATCTCGAATTTCGGCACGGATTGATACTCAAACTCAACCTTTTCTTCAGCTTTTGACACTTTGAAGATGGCCAAATAAAGGGACAGAACAAAAACAGTGACCCCAATTAAGTACCAGTTGAATTCAATGTTCACTAATGATTTAGCCCTTTCAAGGGCTTCGTTATTATGGCACCTAGCAACATGATGACCGTCTTCGAAGTTCAAGAAACAGCCTTTAGGCAGCAATTCAGGCGTCCAAATCATAAATCCCATGACCATAAGCCAGACTCCTTGGAACAAAATGCTGACAGATCTTATGAAACTGTTCAAGAAATTCTTGGGGTAACCAATGCTCAAAAGAGTAGTGAAAAACGAGACAAAGATCAAGATTTGGAGAAGCCAATGGTATTGGCCTTCAACCCCATTGTGACCAGTAGAGTGGAGATGGAAAATGAGGAGTTCTTGCCCAAAAGCAACTGCTATTGAAAACAGAGTCAACCCGTATTTTGCAGGGGAACGAATTCTGTCCAGGATGATGGAAAACAGAGCATACATGAAGAAAGTCAGGGAAATGTTGGAGTGCTCGAAACTGCGAAGATGGTTTGAAGGGATTGTGCCATCTGAGTCGAGCGGCTGGTGTTTTCTGGGTCCAATGAAAAGCTCCATGGAAACAGAAGTTGCACTCCCCGCCATGATCAAGAAAAGCTCTAAATACTTGAACTTGGAGGTGAGAAACCATGGCAGAGAGTTGTATGATTTTGGGGAGAGACAATGAAGTCGAATCTGGTTGAGTAAATGCCATAAGCCGATTACAAAGAACAGAAACCCGGGTGCCACGTGTCCCACCAAGCTTCCCGTCTTTTCCTTAATTCTGCTGCTTTTGAAATGGCTTGAACTTTGTAATATCTCTCTGTTCTTGGAGAGAAAGGGTAGAAAACAGAGGAATGGAGCTAAGATGAGAATGTGTTCAATTAAAAAATGGAATGAGATTATACAAGCTGAGGAATTTTGCGTTCACCAAAAAAAAAATGGAATGAGAAGTTTGATTGGAAAAGAGGTATTATAAAGCGTGGTGATAGGGATTTTTTTTTTCTTTTTCAATCTCAAGAATTTTATGAAACTATGAAAATATCTAATTGGTACATAGTACTCCCTTATGTCTTTATTATAAGGCATTTTAACTTTTTTTAAGTTTTACATAATACGAATTTTTCATTGACAAAAAAATCTTAAAAATATTTCATAATAATCAAGAGAACACGACCGATGTGGAAATATATTTTTAAGATTTTTTTGTCTATAAAAAAATATAAATTAAGTAAAAACTCAGGACAAATCAAAATGTCTTATATTAAGTACTGAAGGTATGTAAGTTGTTGTTTGTAAGTTAAATAGATGGAATAAACCATTCAATTTTCATGGGAGATGGATGTGACGTTTTTATGGTACTTAACTGTTTCAAAGCCACTAGTTCAAGCTCCTACCAGTTGGCAACATTTTCCTTTGAATGCGCCTGAAGCCACTAGTAGTGGGATTTTTGGCTTGTTGTTTAGCCAACATATTGTCATTGAAACAGTGGGACATACAATCTGACATCAATTTCACGGGGGTAAAAAACGGTGAAACAGTTTCTCAATTTTACAGATCAACTCAAAATCACATCTGAAACAATCTTGCAACAAATGTATATGATAATACTTTCCTAAAATACATGAATTAACGTTACAAAACTTCCCGAAAAACTTCAGCCTATACTCAAGTATTCCCCTATGATTACTTGTCAACTCTTGAGATCACTGTATCCCAGTTTTTCAAAGTTCAATAAAATTAAGAACAATCACTTGTGTTGAAGATTCCAAAAATGATTAGGTCCAGCTCGGTGGTGGTCTTTTTTTTTTTTTTTTTTTTTTGGGTGAACCGCTCTGTGGTTTTCCCGATTTCCTCCTCCTATTCTTTTGGTCTTTTCCTTCCCAAATTCCGGCTACTAACTTCAATCAACCGGGGGTTCTGAAAGTTACGACCGAGGGAAATGTTAATGCTAGCTCAAGTCAGCGCAAAGGAAATGATGCGGATTACCAAAAACATTGTTGACACACTCTTTATGTGTCTCAATCAGTAATCCTACAACAGGATACATAATGCAATGGAACACTTCCAAACAGTCTCTCCCTCCAGTCCTTATTATAAAACATTTTGATTTCGTCTTAAATTTCACTTAAAATGTCCTTTTCATTTAAATAAAAATCTTAAAAATATTTCATAATAATTAGGAGAATACAACGAATATGAAAATATTTTAAAATTTTTTTTTTTGTAATTAAAAAGACATCTTAAATAAAACCTAGGACGAAATAAAAATACCTTATAATAATGACCGGAGGGAGTATAATGGAGTCATAATACGTCATAATTATTTCATTTTACAACGCACTATCAATCCAACTAATAATACACTTTATAATCGATTCGATGAAAAGCAGTAAACACAATTTTCTATTCAAAATATACTAGAATTTTGCAACGATTAATTTTTGGTTCTTCCTAATAAACTAATCATTTTGGTTAGATATTCATCAACGGCTTTCTCGTAAACATAGCATAGATACACTATGCATTTATACGGTTCGAGTTCGAGATGCACCAAATTGACCGTCTACTCATGCATATAACTACGAATTTGATACGTTAACATGCAAATATGCAATAAGAAAATCTAAAATCATTGTTATATGTATGCACAATGCACCCAGGAGGCAGGAACAAAATCTCTCAACTCTTTTTCACTTTTTTTCTTGAAATCCTTTCCGTCGAAACAAAAAAGTACACAATATAAACTGCAGAGCCTTTGGAATTTTATTTATTTATTTATTTTTTTTAAAAAAGAATTACTCCATATCCTAATTTGTTTAATGTGGAATTGATGAAAGCCCTCTAGTTTAAGGTATTTTAATTTTTCATACCTTCTTTAACGTAATTTTTTTTTTTTTGGTTACTTCAAACAATTTTCGCTTGCTGTCAAAATGTTATGCAAGATGCGTTTTTAAAGTCCTGGCGTAAATGCGTGGATTTTACTAGCCTTTCATCATTTCTGAACTGAAAATGGTAATTAGTCCATTTTTCGTCCATAATTTGTTTCTGGTAGAACACCTAATTTAAGTAGTGTCCATTTTAATAGATAGTTATTTGAAAGTGGTAACGAAATTTCAATTTTGTTTATGAGAATGATTCATCCAAATAAAGAAACTAGATTGATCAATTGATGTGACATTCTAATTTATTTAGGCACACTAATGGAGAGTATTCTTCTCTTCTACCTTTCCATTATGTCTGCAGGAAATGACTTCCCAATGCCAATAGGAAGAAAGCTTCAGGGCTGATCAACAACAATTTTGTTGCTGTGATCACTCTCATGAGCCTCAACATCATCTTCTTCATCGTCGTCTTTTCGATCCTCGAATCTCGGCAGCGACTGATAATCAACCTTTTCTTCAGCTGGGAACAATTTGAAGATTGCCAAATAAAGTGACAAAGCAAAAACAGTGACCCCAATTAAGTACCAGCTGAATTCAATATTCACCAATGATTTAGCCCTTTCAAGAGCTTCCTTATTATGACACCTCACAACTTGATGGCCTTCTTCCAAATTCATGAAACAGCCTTTAGGGATCAATTCTGGTGTCCAAAGCATAAATCCCATGACCATAAACCAAACCCCTTGGAGCAAAACGCTGACAGACCTTACGAAACTGTTTAAGAAACTCTTTGGGCAACCAATTCCCAAAAGGGTAGTGAAAAATGAGACAAAGATCACGATTTGGAGAAGCCAATGGTATTGCCCTTCAACCCCCATGTGATCAGCAGAGTGGATATGGAAAACAAGAAGTTCTTGCCCAAAAGCAATTGAATGAAGAAACAGAGTTAGCCCGTATTTCGCAGGAAGCTGGATTTTGTCCAGGACGATAGAAAACAGAGCATACACGAAGAAAGTCAGGGAAATGTTGGAGTGCTCAAAAAGGTGAAGATATCTTGATGGGATTGTGCCATCTGGGTCGAGCGGCTGGTGTTTTTCGGGTCCGATGAAAAGCTCCATGGTCATGGAACCCAAACAACCCGCCATGATCAAGAAAAGCTCCGAATACTTGAACTTGGAGGTGGGAAACCATGGCAGAGAGGTGTATGATTTTGGGCAGAGACAATGTATCCGAATATGGTTGAGTAAATGCCATAAACCGATTACGAAGAACAGAAACCCGGGTGCCACGTGACCCACCAAACTTCCCATCTTTGCTTCAATTCTTCTGCTATGAAATGATGGAATTTTGTTATCTCTCTGTTCTTGGACGACGGGTAGAAAACAGAGGATTGGCAAAGATTAGGAAGAGGAATGTGTTTGATGAAAAAAAATTGAATCGGAGGATTTTACTTGGGAGGTTTTATAAAGGGCGTCTTTTTCGTTTTTTTTTTTTTTGTTTTTCCTCTTCCTTCTCTCTTTTGAATCTGAAGAATTTTATGAAATTTTTTGAATATTTAATATCCATATTTAATCTATTTTTACAGAATTGAAATTTACTTTTGGGAAAATTTACCCCCCCCCCTCCCCTCCAAAAATTAAAAAAAAAAAAACTTGGTTGATACGTTGGAAGTCAAGATGATGTATATGATTTGTGCATAATTTAATTCTTGGATAGTTACGTTTAAGTACTTCACACTAGTCAATTTCAAAGTGCCTATTGGGAAGAAAAATAAATTTATTTTTAGTATATTTTCATCTATATAAACAAACTGGATTGATAGATTGAAAGGCATGCATGAATCTACATTGTGTCAGTTATTTTCTTTCTTTATTTCTAAATTCAAATGGTAATTCTTCTTTGTGCATAGTTTTGGTTCTTGTATAATAGCAACGTTTTCAAAGCATCTATATTGGTCTCATCCAAATAAAGAAACTATAATGAAAAATTGAAAAGAAAAATGTATGATTTGAAAAGATAAATTATTCTATCTATCATGAAATGGAGTCCGGGGAGTGAAAAATACTCACTTTTGGTAGGGAGAGATTGTCGGTCCCTTATTTGTTGTTTGCTGATGATATTCTCTTGTTCATGGAGGCAACAGAATCACAAGTGGAAACGGCAGCATTGGTTCTGCAAGAATTCTGTCGGTCTTCTGGCCTCAAGGTTAGCCCATCCAAAACTAAAATCTATTTTTCAAGAAATGTGCATGCTGAAAGGAGGAGAGTCTTGACGAGTAAAATGGGGTTTCTGGCGGTGGAGGATTTAGTTAAGTATTTGGGGATGTCTCTTTTGCACCAGAGAGTCACAAGGGGAACCTATGAAACAATCCTTGAATCGGCACGAAGAAAACTAAGTGGCTGGAAAGCTGCCTCTTTGTCGTTGGCAAGGCGGGCGACATTGGTACAATCCGTGTTGAGTACTATGCCGTACTTTGCCATGCAATCAGTGCTACTCCCCTCTTCAACCTGTGATGATCCAGAGAAATTGGCTAGGAGGTTCCTGGGGGAGGGCGGATGAAATCAGGAAGATCAGCTTGGGTTCCTGGGCTGATGTGTGTGAAGATAAGAAAGTTGGGGGGGTTGGGCCTTAAGCAACAAAGACTCATGAACTGGGCTCTTATCATGAAGTTAGGGTGGCAGCCGGCCCAGGAGAATGAATCTTTATGGGTTCGGGTCATTAAGGCCAGATATGGGGTCAATTTCAGAGATGAGCTACATATTCCTCTAAAGGAAGGTATCAGATGGGTTCTTAATGATGGGAACCGGGTCAAGTTTTAGACTGACCCGTAGGTTTTGGGGGAAGTCTCGCTACAGATAAGGGCGACTCGCCAAATCCCAGAGGATCAGTTGCAGTGGCCGGTCAAGAATTTTGTGGATCCGATGGGTGGGTGGCGGTGGGATCTTTTTGCAGACAAGTTGCTGGCGTCGGTGCTACTGAAGATAACGATGGTACTCCCTCCAAAGCCGGGTTTGGGACCAGATACACTGATCTGGGTCCATGATTCGAGAGGCGGTTTCACGGTGGCGTCAGCTTACAGGACTTTGACGGTGGAGGAGGACAGCCCGAGGGAAGCAATATGGAGGGAAATTTGGAATTGGCAGGGGCCGCAAAAAATCAAAGCGTTTCTATGGCTGACGGCGTGATCGCGCCTCCCTACCAACATGGAGAGGGCTAGGCGCCACCTCACGCTGGATCAAGGCTGCCCCACGTGCGGGGCGCCGGAAGAAACCACGATTCATGTCATTCGGGATTGCCTGCCAGCATCGGCGGTGTGGAAGTATTTTTTTGGCACTGGGAGCCAAGGACTTTTCTTCTCGGAAGGATGTGGGGAATGGCTACTGCTGAATCTTCAAAACCGGCAAGGTTTGTCCAATGAATGGCCTACACTTTTCGCCATAATTGCTTGGCGAATCTGGTCATGGAGGAACGCCCGCATATTCGAAGGTAAGAATACCACTCTGCACCAAAAGGTAAGGGAAATTTGAAAGAAATTGGGGGAGGTAAAGAAGGCAAGAAAGCAGGTTGACATGATGAGCATTAGGCAGTCGGCTAGGGAATGGAGATGGCTGGCTTGGGTTCCTCCCTTGGGGAACAACCTTAAGCTGAACACAGATGGGGCTGTGGAGGGTTTGACGGGAGTGGCAATAACTGGTGGCCTTCTGCGGGATGCTTTGGGCACATAGAAGGGAGGTTTTGTTATGAAAATTGGTTTTTGTTCAATAGCGGTAGCGGAATGTATTAGGGACTTTTGCTGGCTTGAGATTTGGGCTGTAGAAATTTGGAGGCAGAGGCAAATAGTCATTGTGCTGTCCAGATGGTCTTGGAGGAGAAGAGACCCCGTCGATGCATGAGGGATTTCTACGAGCCATTAGGGAACTTTTGAACAGGGAATGGTGCGTACAGTTGACTCATGTACATAGGGAGCGTAATTGTTCGGCTGACTTTTTGGCATCATTGGTGGCGGCGAATCCGCCCGGATTATAAAGGTTGGATTCGCCACCGCCATGTGGAATTCAATGGTTGTATTATGATTTCTTAGGGGTTGCATAGCCCCGTAGAATCCCTGTATAAATTTTTAATGAAATAGAAGTTTTCCTTTCTCACCGAAAAAAAATTATTACTTTCAAATAAATTTTTCATCTATTTCAAAATAATTGTCTAATTTGAAGTTTAACTTGTAGTACAATCATTTCGATATGGATGAAATACATGTCAATCTCATTTTCTAGGTAGTATTATATAACGTGTTATTAAAAAAAAAAATGTGATATGGTCCTTACCATATTAGTGGACTTTCCTGTTCATTTTTTTTTCTTTTTGAGAAAAAATTAATTTTTTTTGACCACGTCTTAATCATTTTTTTTTATAAACATATCAATCAATTAGATGTATTATAAATGTCTAATTTTATAACACATAGTCATAATATGAAAAAGAAAGTAATTACAAGATAATGGCTAAGAGATTTTGCACTTTTTGAATTCTCTAATTAATTTGGTTTATTTTATTTTATTTTTTTAAAAAAACTAATTTGGTTTATTGGTTTCATAATAAAATGGGAAAAATTTGGGATATTTTTAATAATATGCAGCTATTATATGAACTTAATAAATAAAAAATTATGGGTTTTGGTTTTTTTTTTTCAAAATTATTATTTTTGAAGGTCAACACTAATTTTTTTTAAGGTATTTCCGGAAAAAATCATTAAAAGAGAACCTTTAATGATAAAATAAATTGCAACCCAAATCTATATTTTTTGGTTTCAAAATGTGAAAAATTTTAGATTTCATCAACGGGAGTAACATAACAATGAATAATTCTCTAAATAGATACCTCATTTAGTATATTTATTGAGAGAAAAATTGTCTTACACAAATTGATCATGAGTTAATCTAGACAAAGTCATGCAAACTTATTATTCGTGTGTTTACAGATTTATTATTTTATTTTGGACAGTGAACATGATTTTTGGTAATGAAACGTGATATTATTGGCCTAAATTGTTTATCGAATGACACATTTCAATTAAGAATCTATATCTATCTTCTATATATACTATACTAAGGCAAAAATCAGAGAGAGAAATCCAAAAAAAAACCAAAAAATAAAACAATAAAAACTAAAAAAAAAGAACGCAACTGAAGAAAATTATATCTTAACAAGAAGTTAACAAACAAAATATATCTGTAATTTGAATCAGGATAGAGGTAGTTATAGATGATACAGGATCAAATCTTATTTTCACATTTAAAAAAAAAAAACTTGAAGATATACATTAAAGTGGAGAACCATAATTAGGTCACTCTAGAGGTTCCAACGGAAGCAAAGAAGAAGCAGGACATCCGAAGCACATATAGACGTAGAAGATGATATGAGAGCGTGAAGCTGTCATATCATCTTGACACTGAAAGTTGCAATGGAGGCCTGATGGACTATGCTTTGAGTTCATCATCCAAATTGGTGGGATTGACACTGAAGAAGATTATCCTTACATACGCGGAAACATGAGATGACATATATACATAAAGGGAAGTATTGGTGGTTGAATTCCCTTGCCTTTAGAAATTGCAATTACAGATTCCAATACTAAAATCCCTTTTTTGTGTTTATACATTGCAGAAAAATGCCAATGTGGTTACTATTGATAGCTATGATGTTATGAAGATGTACATGCTGGGGTGAGGAAGCACTGAAAATCGTTGTCGTTCGCAGCCAATTAGTGCAGCCATTGAAGGCTAGATCTAGCAGAGATGTCTAATTTTACTACTTACTCTGTCCCAAAATTATTGTCCAGTTTGAGATTTCACTTTTAGTACAATTTAAACTAAAAATGAAAACTCAAACCGGACAATAATTATGGGACAGAGGGAGTACAAGGTAAATTTTAAGCGCCTTGCATTTAGTTGGTGCCTACACCTTTCCCTTCTTGAATAAGGTCTTTTTTTTTTTTCGGAAACTTTGTATTTAGGTAACTAAAATCAATTAAAAATTTTAGCAATAAGCTAAACCCTGTTGTAACATAACTTGGTCATTTTCTGCTGATATGCAACTTTTTATTTCTTCGATTCAGGGTATTTTTACTGGAAATTATGGCACACAGTTGGACCATGGCGTGAATGTTATTGGATATGTTACGGAAAATGGGTAAAGATTATTGGATTGTTAGGAATCCATGGTGTGTCTTATGGTGAGAAAACGGCTACATCAGAACGGAAAAAAAAAAAGAAAAAGGAGAAGTTGCCAACGGGCCTTTGTGGTGTCACCTCTGAGCCACCTTTGTGGTACAAATCCTCCCAATCCTGGCCTTCTCCACCATCTCCAGTCAAGCCTCTTATACAAAGGTACAATCTCAATGCTGAGGATTTTTTTTTTCTTTTTGAAAACAAAATGTATAGAGTGTAGCAATTCAAACAAAGTGAATTATTATATCCAATCTCCTTGATTTTTCAAAGCTAATTATATTTGAACTTGATTTTAAAAAATAATCATATTTGACATACAATCAAGCAAGGATCAACTGAAGCCCCTCGATGCAGAATGGCGAATTCGACGAGGAGGGAATATTAGACTGAATGCAATGGGTAAATATTTGGTGTTTTGGGGAGGGAGTTTAGAGAATTCGAGTCCATTAATGATGAAGAAAGAGGTTCTCCAGGGTAAAGGATGAAAGACCAGCAGCGTTGAAAAGAAAATTTCTCCTTTGGGAGAGATTAAAAGATTGAAGTTCAGAAAGCCGGATTTGGATTCTGGGACCCTTTTTGATCCTATGAATCAGAGAGAAGAGCAGAATTTAAGAGTTAAGAATATAGAAGAATGGTCTAATCCATTATTAGAGTTTCAAGAGAAGTGTCCTCCAGGAGGCAGCAACTCAGTGATTGTTTGCACAACATGCATTTGAGAGATTCGGAAAACCTTTGAAGACAGTAACAATATTCCTGTTGAAAAATTTGCGGATTTCGTTCTTCGAAAGAGATTTGAATGCATTGCAGATTTCAGCAAGTTATGGGTAACTTTAGGAGGAAAATTGTTGCCCCCGAGGCTTTTATCAAGGGAATATGGTAAAAAACTTCAGTCAACTTAATGTTAATGCTACTGTTTATCAAGTACATTTTTCGGATCAAATTTAAATACGCAAATAACTTCAGTAATATTATTAATGTGGTAAAAAAAATGATCCTACTTTAGAATCAACGAAAAAAATAATTCTACCATAGAATGTCATTAAAAATAAGTTTAATGATTTTGATTTAAATTATTGCAAGATATATAATTATTCAATTCGAAGTTGAATGCTTTTTTTTTCTTTTCTCAACATTCCACATTATGTTGAAAATATCCATATCACATATGTTTTTGTTTATCTATTTTATATTTTCTTTATGAATGAAGCCATTATAAAAAAGCTACTATACATTTATAACTAGCATTTTTGTTTGTCATAGAAAATTCATCTAATAATAAATAATTTCATTTTCTCTATATTATGATTTATATTGTATTTAGTAGAAATTTTCATCCATTAAATCCTTATTTTATAATTTTCATTTAAGTTTATTTGACCGTCCGATTAACACCTTTAAATTAACAAATCATTTTATTTGCCACGTCTAGTTTTTAACCATGACCAATTATATGTCGCCTTATCAATAGTCACTTCCAGACAAGGAATCAAGAACCTAATATGCGATAAATGTGGTAACGTCAATTTAAGACTATGAATTTCGTTCACAGAGAAGTATTGCAGGACATATAATCATTCAATTCAAAGTTAATTATTTTTTCTTTTTTATATTCCTTTTTTTTTAAGATTTTTTTAATAATTCTCTTTGCCTTAAATAAATTATTACCATTTTGTAAAGTATTGTTGATGTTTGTGTTTTATATTTTTCAATGAAATAATTATATAATTTATAATTAACATTTTATATAAGTACAAATTCCATAGAAATAGTTATATTTTTATTACTTTGCTTGTGTTGTAATGTCTATATGTACATGTTCTCCCCGTCCATCGGACGGGTCTAACACCTAGTTATCCTTAATAAGACAATAGATAACACGTTCAAAATAAGATCATAATTTTTAATAGAGTTATGATGGGAACTAATCAACTCTATGAATAATTTCCTTATATAGATTATTAATGCTAAGATACATATAAAATTGATTAATCTAAATAAAAAATATTTTTATACAAGTTCTTAGTACATTAGTTGTAAAAAATATTTTTCAATTTCTTAACATGAGTCGATTTCAAATTGTCTACAAAATTTTTAATTTTAGCAAACTTTATCCGAATAAAGAAACTAGAATGATTACTGTAATTGGAAGGTATGACATGAATCTAATTTAAGTCTCTCTTTTTTTAATTTTATTTTAGATAATTTAACAATTCTAATATGAAAATGGAAATTAATGCGTTTTGTGCGTGATTTAGTTCTCGTAAAACACTAACATCAAAGTATTTCAGGTTAATCTCTGAGTCTTACATTTATTTTTATGAAAATTCATTCAAATAAATAAGTTATTATGGTAAAAGGATGATATGAATCTATGCTTCAAATTTATTAAGAATTATTTATCATTTCTAAATTGAAAATGGTACCATTCCCTTTTATGCATATAGTTCGGTTCTTATAAAATACTAACACGAACCTACGATTTGATTCTGTTTTATAATTTTTTTAAAACTTTTTTTTTTTGAGAAACCTAATCCAAATGAAGGAATTAGATTGATCTAAAGAAATGCATGGCATGATTCTAGTATTTGACTGTTATTTTCAATCACTTTTAATCTGAAAGTTAATACCTCTTGCGGATAACTTGGTTCTTGTACTATAACATTTACGCCAGTCAATTATAAAGTGTCTATTGACTATTGCTAACAAAATATAAATTTGATTTTAGAAAATTAAATAAAGAAACTGTATTGATAGATTTTCTCCCAAAAAAAAATAATTATATTGATAATTTGGTGTATCATTCTAATTTAATTAACGATTAGGTTCTAATTAATAATAATGGATATAAAAACAGAAGCAAGATTTGGCATGAGGAAAGTATAAATTAATTAGTTGTATATTGTACTCATTTAATTTTTGACAGTAGGTGTTAATTAAAGAGTTAGGCTAGCTCGGATAGCTAGATAAGTGGTTTGCTCATCTTGAATTCTTGATTTTCCTTCAACTCGGTGGGAGTTGCTTTCCTTTTTCTATTAAAGAATTTTTTGAAACATTAAATAACTAAAGAATTCAAGAAGTATATAGGTTTTAAGATCCGCTGTTATTAGTCGATATCAGTAATTTAACAATCTTTTCGAAACCTAATTTATATGATGAGAGAGGTTCAGTAATCTTATTATGTAAACTATAAAGTGCTCATTCCGGTCCTAATTATAAGATACAAATGAATATTAAATTAATTAGTTAAGACTAATTTTAATTAGCGGAGCCATTTCATGATCTTGTACTTTAGTTATTTTTTGTTTGACTAATAAAGAGTTTCAACTATAAAAAAAATCTCTAAAATTCGTTAAATCAAGGAATAATAGTTTCTTAAAGAACGAATTAGTTAGATTTAGAACTTAATTTTTGCTCCGATAATGACATCAATCTAACAAAAACAATTGCTTGGTAGTTAAGAGTTAAGACTACGAAAAATTATTGGGTACCGCTACTGTATCCTGGTTTTTAGTACATCAATTATTAATATCTCCCTTTTTTAGTAGTACAACTGTCATAGAAATTATCTTTCTCCCCTCAAAATTACTACTTTATTCTATTATTGTGTCTGGCTACATAATCTTATAATCTTACGTGGTACAACAGCTGCACTAAATAATTTCTCTAAGACTACATAAAAAATAGCTAGGAAATTTTAATAAACATTCAACAATTAGTGGTCGGAATATATTCAAAGTTTTGCATCAATTATGTGGCCAATAATAAATAGAAAAGTGATAATTACTGTACTAATTAATCGGAGGACATCAACTAGATTAGCCTATAGAAATGGATGTGTATCTAATATAATCTGATTAGTTCCAAAAGGCTGCGGGAGCACTTACTTTTCAAAACTGCCAAGAAGACCCCAATCGTGTCACAATGTCACATCATGATTTGATCTCGCAATCGTAAGCATATTTAATTTTATTTTTTTTTATAAAAAAAAACTAAAATAAAAAATACGTCATTTTCATGAGTTTCTGAACTAATATGGTTAGAATTTTCATCACGAAATAGATTCTGGATTGTCAAGGCGGCTCTAGGAATGTAAATCAGAAAGCTGCGCGACAATTCAGTTTAGTCCTGAAGGAGATGCGTGGACTTTCAGTTGCATCAACAATCCATAACATTCGGATTTTCGAAATTATTGTTTCGATTAAAAAGAAATACACTGTTAAGTACAGTAACAATATACGATCTGCGTAAATTATATATCCAAATAGAAGTTTAATATTTTGTGTAGTTTGTATATGTGTTAAGATAGAACCACAACTGCGTGATTGAAAGATCAAATGGAATCAAACTCAGACTGAGACAACTGTTATCAAATATCATACCATGACTTAGATGAAACGTAAAAATTAATGAAATATTAAGAAGACGAAAGCTAAATGGAACCAAGCACATCTGCAAATTCTCTGTTTTTTTTGTACAAAGTGAGAATAAACAACACTGGTTGGGGGGTTAAAAAGAGAGGGTGAAGTCTAGAAAGTAGAAAGAATAGCCATTTTCAAGATTCCAATTGGTTCCAAAACAGAGCACCAACCACCGTTTAATACAATATAGCAATACATAAGAGCAAAAGATGTGTACAGACTCTTATTGAATAAACTCGGAATTTGTTCATACTCAAATGAAATGAAAGAAAAAAAAAAAGAATACCACCTTTACAAATGTCTGAATTTTAATAAAATAAATTACTAAGACAACAAGTAAGACAAATATTTTAGGAGAGAAGAAATATATTGAAGCAAAAAGCTCCCTTGAAGTAATGATGATGATACATGCAGGAAGAAATCAACACCATGGTCCAAATACAAATCCAGGTGTAGCAAGAACCACGAATTACAAACCAAACAATAACAACCTCGCTATACTTTTTTCTGTGTTTCCCACCTTTTTTCTGCACTTTTTTGGTACTCTGTTACTGGTTTTTCCACTATAAGCCAAGCCAACTTTGTTGTTTGCTCAATTGAACAAATACCAAATAAATCAATAAAAAAAGAAAAGACCTCTTTCTTTTTCTTTTTCTTTTTTTTTCTTTTAACTTTTTACACACCTAACCAATTCTACTTCACACTGTTCCCCTTTTTCTGTTTCCTTTTCACAGTTTTTTCTCTGCTACCATGACAACTAGTCTACCTTTCCATGTCTGCAGGTGCTGCAAATGACTTTCCGACAGGAAGAAAGCTTCTGGGCTGATCAACCACAACTTTGTTGTTGTTAATACTCTTTTGAGCTTCGACATCATCATCTTCTTCATCATCATCTTGAATCTCGAATTTCGACAAGGACTGATAATCAACCTTTTCTTCAGCCGGGAACAATTTGAAGATTGCTAAATAAAGGGACATGGAGAAAATGGCGACCCCAATTAAGTACCAGCTGAATTCAATATTCACCAATGATTTAGCTCTTTCAAGGGCTTCGTTGTTATGACACCTCACAACTTGATGGCCTTCTTCCAAGTTCAAGAAACAACCTTTGGGAATCAATTCTGGTGTCCAGAGCATAAATCCCATGACCATAAGCCAAATTCCTTGAAACATAATGCTGACAGACCTTACAAAACTGTTTAAGAAACTCTTTGGGTAACCAATTCCCAAAAGGGCAGTGAAAAGTGAGACAAAGATCACAATTTGGAGAAGCCAATGGTATTGGCCTTCAATACCCATGTGATCAGCAGAGTGGAGATGAAAGAGAAGAAATTGCTGCCCAAAAGCAATTGCCCCCAAGAACAGAGTCAGCCCATATTTTGCAGGAGGCTGAACTTTGTCCAGGATGATGGAAAACAGAGCATACACGAAGAAAGTCAGGGAAATATTCGAGTGCTCAAAATTGTGAAGATGGTTTGATGGGATTGTGCCATCCGGGTCAAAGGGCTGGTGTTTCTCGGGTCCAATGAAAAGTTCCATAGAAACAGAAGCTGTACAACCCGCCATGATTAAGAAAAGCTCCAAATACTTGAACTTTGAAGTGGGAAACCATGGCAGAGAAGTGTATGATTTGGGGTGGAGTGAATGAAGACGAATATGGTTGATCAAATGCCATAAACCGATTACAAAGAATCCAAACCCGGGTGCTACGTGTCCTATCAAAGTTCCCATCTTTGCTTAATTTTTAGTTTCTCTTCTGTTAGCTCTGTTCTTGGAGAAAAAGGGGCAGAAAACAGAGGAATACCAAAAAGAGAGGAAAAAAAAGGAAAGTGTTTGATGAAAAACAAATGGAATGAGAAGTTTGATTGGGAAGTGGGGGGTTTTATAAAGGTGGTGAAAGGGGATTTTTGAATTTTATGGAAATTTTTTTCTTGGATGTCTTTAGAGTCTAGAGGGTTCTATGCTTTGTTGTTATAGTTGAAATTTATGAACATCTTTTTGGGTCAGTGTTACTAATAAGGTAATAAAATATGTACTTGGACAAAGAAACGAAATGAAAATGAAGTAGCTTGGAGAATACGGTTAAGCAAAAGAAAGTGTTGACCATAGGACTATCCTATTTGGATGTTACTGATGGGATGAGGTGTCACGGTTCTTATTTTTCTAGACAAACAATGGTGTTGGATTAACATTTTTGCCTCCCTGAATTTTCATTTTTATGCAGATTTGATCCTTCTAAAGTTCCAAATTTGATTTTCTAACGAAAGGGTGATCCACCCAAAAAAATCATTAATTAGGGGGATTCAATAATCGGTTTGGCCACACATTTCCAAAGAATTTCAACTTAAGTCTTCAAGTTGCCGTCTAACTAAAAACTTTCAACAACTAAATTGAACTCAAGATTTTGCAATTTGTTTACGTTATGGAGTACTACATAAACAAAATTAGCAGCGGAATTTGGAATGCATACAAGTAAATTACATTAGAGGCAAGTCAAAGTTATTATTTTTTTCTTCCTTGCAAATTTGTTTGATATGAAAGCAAAAAGATGTTATACACAAATATTTTGAAGGCATGTGTTTCTTTTCGTGAAACTAAAATTTATCGAGTCTTTCAAGGAGGCCAATGATGATGGCCTATTTCTTTTCTTTTTTTTCTTTCATTTTTTTTTTTTGCTGAAGGATGATGGCCTATTTCTCATAACATGTAACTTACCTTATTGGAAATCCACTGGTTATTTAAACTATGAGGCCGAATATTTGGAGTCGTCATCCTCCATATCTAAAACTTTGATGTCCTTAGGAGGTTTATACGATTCAACAAGGTTGCCAAGTGAAAACTGAAAAGTATCATGGAATCTTGTATAGAATGAAGAGAAGTCAATTTGCGTATCCATGCCTAGTCTGTCGTCGAAAGTCTCCTCATTTTGGGGTTTTTTTTTTCTTTGTCTCAATCCCAAGAAACCAATCGCATTCTTATCCATGTCCTTATTTCCATATAAAAGATTCCTATTTATTATTAGCAAAATAATCCGTATGCTGCAATAACATAATTACTTATATGTGATGTATATATTTACAAAATTGTTTCTAGTTAACATTTGTTGATTTTATTTTTTTACTAGCCTTTGATGTTATTTTTCAAGCTGTGTACCTGTTCTTATCATTCTAAGTATTTAAAAAAATAAAATTGTTTCTAACCTTCTTCATTGAGAAATGAGAATGCACAATTCTTCTGTGTGTTTTTGCCTTTCTGTTCGCCCAACTCTAGAACGACTTTCTGTACTGGATAATCTTAATTTTTTTGGAAATTTATAATGTGCAATGCATTATGTTGGTCATAGGATGTTTGATGTGAAAGACCAAAATCCTTCAAGATTTAACCCAATTTGATGGCCAATGTTGGCTAATTTATTGATAACAAGATCACTAGCCGAAGACCCGTAGGTAATGAGACAAGCTACAAATTCATAACACCCAATAATAAGAAACTAGAAAAAAGGTTTCGGAGTCCTCCGTGACATTTTTGTACTCCCTCCTGTCCTTAATATAAGACATTTTGATTTTGTCTTAAATTTCATGTAGTATGTATTTTTACATTCGTTGTGTTCTCTTAATTGTTAAAAAATATTTTTAAGGTTATTTCGTTAATTAAAAATCCATATTATATAAAACCTATGACAAATTAAAATCCCTTATATTAAGGATCGGATAAGTATTAATTATGTAAAGTATGTTATTCAATCTAATGATATGATCATAGTTTTAATAAGGAAGTCGATGGCTCTTATATTTGCTCTCCGATCCTGGAGGATATTATTTATATTTGTCAGGATCTTTCTGTTACTCACATATCATAGATTCCGAGAGATGAGAACATATACCCATTCCTTTGCAAAGTATGCCACGAATGCTTATGTAATTGAAACTTTATGGAGTTTACCTCGTAACTTTTTACCCCATTTGGCGATGGACTGTTTCTAGTAATCTTTAATGTAAGTATTTTTTTTCCAAAATAAATAAATAAATACATGACGTTCATATTTCAATCATTCTTTTTTTTTTTTTTTGATGAACACAAGTTTTATATAATATCTGGAAAATCGCCAGAACGAATTGAGTAAAAAAAGCAAGATACAATTGATGAGTACAATCTTATATTTATTTGATAAATATATAAATGTACTCGTTATGGATAAGCTTATACATATCTACCACAAATCAAAATGTAAATGTATATTGTACAAAATTTAAGATTTAGTTTCAAATACATTTCTAAAATTCTTGTGTAAAGTTTTAATCATTGATCCAGATGTAATGAAAATATGGCCACGTTGATTTGTTGCCAAAAGCATAAAATTAATCGTTCAATCTGGCTGGAAGGTGACAAGCTAAAGTCCTTTGTTTTTTTTCTTAAAGAGTACCTGCTTATTTTTATAAGGTACAAGCCAAAGTCAATTGACTACAAATTCTTCAGTTGAATTTAGGTTTTCTTGTTATCGATGATGTACGAGAAACTTCTTTCAAAACTAGTCAAACTAAAAACCAAAAAAAAAAAGAAAAGAAAAAGATTAGTTCAGAGGTTTGTGAAAAATTAGTTCATTTTCGACTATATAGCTTTCTCCTTGGATATAATTAACAAGCATACTTCCAATAATATTTTCCCCATATTTTTATTAGCATAGCTGTAAAAAAATAAAAATTTTTTTTTTATAAAAATACGAAATGATTTATAAATAATCATAATAAAAAGAGACAAAAAGAAAGAAAAAACCACGAATGTTGTGGTCTTTATATATATATAAGAAAAACATGTGATTGAATTTCGGTTATTATATTTAAAAAAGTTTTATTTTCTAGAAAACAGGCTGCAGGAGTCAGGAGATATGCGTTGTTGATTTGTACATTGAATATTTTAGCATCATGGATGATGTAATTAATATGGTTTCAAAAGTTTGGGAAAAACGTGGTCTAATGATCTAATAATTAAATTTGAATAATCTTTTTTTTCCCCCTTTTGAAAGTAATAACTGATGAAAATTAATACTGTACCTGTTTTGTAGTAATATTAGTCAAATAAAGATGATGTGCGAGGAAAGTATGGTCAAGAATCAAGATCATCCAAAAGATTCAAAACAACGGCGTACGTGAAACCAGCCGGGACGGAGACGGCGACGGCGTTAGTAAAGCTTTTTTTTTTTCCCTGAATAATAAATTAACTAAAATTTTAATTTAATGTTGCGTAATTGACCTTAATATGGCTTTATGCCTATTGTACGTGCAACACGAAATTGAATTTAAATTCTTAATTTTCTTACGTGTCAAGGAAAAAATTGACCTGATTTCAGCCTCATGTTCCACGGGAGCCTGTGCCTTTTTTGTGGTTTTGGTAGTTCACTTTATCCGATTAATTTAAAAAAAATGTAAAGTAATTAGTTTGTTTTGGTGATTGATTAATTGATTAGGGTGTAGTTAATATTCTGTCTCGTTTTATTGTTGTTTTTCAATAATAGCCACATGGTCAAAGTATTACTCCTTCCGTCTCATAATTATTGTCCAGTTTGGGTTTTCATTTCTAGTTCAAATTGTACTAAGAGTGAAATTTCAAACTGGACAATAATTTTGGGATAAAGGGAGTAATATCTTATTTCGCGGATTATTTAGTTTACAACTCTTAAACTTAATTACCACATAAATACATAATTTGGGCAAAATCAAGTTGAATTGAGAGTGGTCACTAGTAATCTTTGATAGATAGCCACCTTTGGAACGCCAGATTAGTATTCTTTACGTTTCAGAAAAATAATTTACTATATTAAGTTAAGATAGTAAGATAAAAACCAATTATCCATCTCAAACGAAAGGAGTTAAAAAGAAAAAGAAAAAAAGGAGTAGTAGAGAACTCCAGAAAAGATAAAGATAAACGATAGGTAGAATGCAATTGTACGTATTTTCAATAAACTGATGAAGTATATACTCAACATCACTTATCATTATTATTATGCATGGATGATTTAATTATTGACGCATTGTCCAATTTGATGATAGGAAGTTTTTGTCATTAATGACGAATAGCCCAATTATATACTCATCATTTTTTTTAAATTAAAAAAAGGACAATAATAATTATTATATTAGGAGACACCTCTCTAATGATGATTTGGTTGCTTTCCAGTTTACATGGTTTCTCCTTTCTATGGGTGATGAATGATGAAAAATGAATTTATGTATATGATAGGGGTCGATTTGCCAAGCTTAGATGGGATCTTAAATATTAAACAAACGTGCATCACATCACCATTTTATTTTATTTTCTTCATAAAAGATACGGTATAATAATGAGGTGAACTTTGCAAATATACATTCATTTATTTATGTAATATCCATCAATCACTATTGTTAATCTGAGACGGTCTTGGAGGGATGCGTTGATTGGAACATAGAGAAAATGTTAATTACGAAGTATTACGTAATCCGTTTCGTTCCAAAATAAGAGTACTGTTTGTTAAATTAATTTGATTATCTGATTTTTATTTTAATACAAAAAGTTAAGCTAGACACATACTCTTGTTTTTCTATTTAAAAGTACAATTCAGATTCCAATTCCATAGCTGAAGCAGCCATTGCGTGTACGTATCAGAAAAGTAACACACAATTCATTTTGTTGTTACATAATAATAATAATTTATTTATTACTGATAATGTTGTTCCCAGCTCCTTGCTTACGAAAGAACTTTGGCGGGTCAAATTTGCAAATTCCAAGTCTTATTTTTTGGTAGTTTTAATTAATTCATCGTTAAATGTGTGGTTGTAGATTTTTGATGGCCACATGAAGCTGGAGGGCAAAAATTAATTTTTAATGGCAAACAGAGCTTAATTGA